ATCTGGCCATGTGTAGCAACATGGATGGAACTTGAGGGTGTTATGCTGAGCGAAATAAGTCAGGCAGGGAAGGACAGATACCATATGTTTGCACGTATAGGAGGATTAGGAGGAATTTAACTGAGGACCATGGGGGAGAAGAAGGGGGAAATAATGGGGGAGAGGGAGAGAGGCAAACCATGAGAGACTCTTGAATGCTGAGAACAAACTGAGGATTGATGGGTGTGGGGGGCAAGGGGGAGATGGGCATGGAGGAGGGCACTTGTGGGGATGGGCACTGGGTGTTATATGGGAACCAACTTGACAATAAACTATTTATAAAACAATTTTTTTAAATAAACTCAAAATGAAAAAAAAAAAGAAACTATTGGTTGAGTAAATGGCTTCTTTCTAATTAATATAACAATGATGGTCATTTTAGTTAGTACCTTACAAGAAAGATATATAGGTTGGTCAAAAGTCATCTTCAAGATCAATATACATATACTTCAACCCAAGAATGTGGCTTATTGAAGAGTCTTGAGCAAGGAGCATACTAACCCTCGTGATTTTCTTGGTGGCTTCCAGCAAATCTCATAAGCACTCTAGGTCTCAGTTTCCTTACCTATGAAATGACTAGGTTGGACTAGAGCCTCATTTCTAACTCATTTCCCAGGTCTAGTCTTTTATGAGTCTATGATCCTGGTTTCATGTTATCCCATCTCAATGGTCCAGATGCCAAGTTGAAATACATCCACGGTGGAAAATTCTCTTGAGAGGGGTGTTCTACTGATGTGAAGCTTTTGCCAGATACTCCAAGTTTGTCAAGTGAAGAAATGAATGAATGAATGAATGAATGAATGCCCTAATAATTCTCTTTGCTAACAAATCCTGAATACTAAGCTATAATTTTTGTCTCTTCATGACTCTGCTGAGGACACTGACCATTAAGTATTGGGACTGAAAGTGAAGGCTTACCTCTGCCGCCCTTGATCTCCCCTTCAGTGAAGACATCCTCATCCGCAAAGCATCTCTTATCTGAAGAAGCAAAGACAGTGAGGAAATGACGATATCCCCAAAACCCATACCCATTCCCTGGAACTTTGAGACCAATAGCCCTTGCAGAAGCAACATCAGATGGCTTGGCATAGTGCTTAGCCAATAATAAGACTTGGATAGAAGCTGAGGTGTAGTTATAATTGGATTTAGGATTAAAGTTATAATTCTGATTATGGTTTTTATTCTTCTACATACACTCATACACTACCTCCTGTTGACTTGATTAAGTGCAGGAAATGAGGATGTATAGTTCTCTACTTTCCTTCTCTTGGCTGATGCCTGGAGCACCCCTATAAGTTCACCCCCAGGGACTAGGTTCTCTTCTCAAAGCTGCTTCATCCCCTGCTATCTTAAGCTGTGTGAAAATTCTTACAGTGAGTGAAACAAATTCAGATTACCTTGTGGTCCATGATGGTTCCAAACAGCAAGATGAAAAACCCCTGTGGCAAAATTCAACCGAAGTATGAGGGACTGTTTGAGAGACAATATCCCAACTGTCATTTTAATTTCACTCTTCTAGATATATTCAAGGAGAGTTATTGGATATTAGAAACTTTAGCTTCTACTGACGCAGATAAAAATGTATTGGCAAGCATTTTCTGTGACTGTACCTCAAAGAAAGAAGATCACCTTCATAGATGTGCATGAGAGTTATTGATATTTATTGAATGGCTATAGGTGGAAGTGAGTGCTTTCTACTTTATTATATCTGTTTACTTTCTTTCCAAATGTTAAGTAGCTGATCTTACTCATAATAACAGCAACATGACATGGAATCTTGTAGTTCACAGTGACAATCATGGAAGGTGTCTTGAGAAATGAAACCTATATTTCAGTTGGAAAAATTCAAGAAATAGCAGGGCCTCTGAGCTGGTGAGAAAATTACAGAGATATAAAAGACCAGAGTCTGTTCAAGTTTAAAATATTTGGTTTCCCACAAAGTCACAATAATCAATAGTCAATCTTTTTAAATGGTGGAAGTTCAAGTTTAAGAAAATTCTGGATCCTTCCATGAGAGTGGAAGGAAGCCTGGGTTTCTAAGGATAGTTTCATGGCAAAGAAACACTAATCAGAAGACTGAAATTTTTAAATTTGAGTCACAGGGAAAACTTGCTAAGAAAAGTTGGAGTGTATTTACCTAAAAGTTTTTCAGTATTTTTCTTTTGAAAAAGAAACAGAATAAAACTTTAAGGGTTTAATTAAGTTGCAAAGTAAAAGAAAAAAATAGAATGAGATCATTAGTCACCAAAGTAACTTCAAGAGTTGGAGAGATTTACATGAGTCCAAGAGCTTTTGATTTAAAAAACAAAAACAAAGAACAAAAAACCAAAAACCCATTAGTCAAAGGTTTCTCTTTAAAAGCCATGCAAGGGAAAGAGTGAAATGCTCTCCATAGTTATTGAGGAACGTATGAGTGAGATATATAATTGATCTGAGCTGGCATTTCTTAAAAGCCTGCTTTCTGTCTTGTATCACATTTTTAAATAGGGTAATAGTGACACGTTGTGGGAATACATTGTTGCTTTGCTAAGCAGTTCTAGTTATATATTTAAAGCAGTGGTTGGAATTTTTTTTTCTGTGAAAACCCAGATAATCCATATTTAAGCTCTAAAGGCTCTACAATTTCTGTTACAGCTACTCAACTCTGCCATCATAGTTCAAAAGCAGTCATAGGCAACATGCAAACAAATGAGTATGGCGCTATTCCAGTAATATTGTTTACAAAAATGGGCAGCAGGTCGTAGTTTGCCAAGCCCTGATTAAAAGCATGATTAAGGATATGAACTTACCAAATGTGCTATTATTCATAGGCCTGAAAAACAGTTTGGCTAGTGACAGCTTCTCAAAAGCACACGCATGTAGCCAACATAGAGTAAAACGATTTTTAGAGGAATAATTTTGCCAAGCCAAGTGTGGTTAAAGCAAGATAAAGACAATATAGATGATTTTATATTCATATCCTTATCTTACTAAGGAGAAGGTCGAGGCCCAGAGAAAAGTGACATCTCTAAGATCAGGCAACATGTGAGAGATCCATCTCCATTAGTAACAACCTACATTTATTTCACAGGGAAAGCAGGGAAGAGGTATAAGAACTCTTCTCTGGCTAATATTCAAAGAGAACGGCAAGGGTTCTCTCTTCATAGTGTGGAAAATGACTGTTTCACTGAATTCCTAAACTCCTTGAGAAAGGATAAAAAATGGTGGTTGTTTTGAGGCATAATATGTGAGTGTAAACTCACACATCTTCGACCAAAGACTAGTCTTTGATAAATGAAGGCAAACTTCTTCTGACACTGAAACTTGAGGAGGAATACAGGTGGGTCAGGGAGGACAGAAGTAAGGAGATGCCCACCTAACCAGCTTGATCAGCTAGATTCAACTTGACAATCAATAGAGTAAGGGAGGCCACAGCTAAATGTCACTAAGACATAGAAGGAGTTTTTAAAAAACCCCACTTTGTATTCTATATTTTTAAATCATAGTCATATCTTGTTGTATAGTCAGAATAACAAATTATGAACTAAAATATCTTATAAGTAAAACAATTAATAATTATAATTAGTAAAAATAGGTCTACCTCTTGGAACTTACCTGGAAAGCATTCAGCAGGGCAAAGATTATATGGAATACCAAGGAAGTACCTTCAATAAGTGTGGCTATTCCAAAACCCCAAGTCAGTCCCAGCAATGGGGTAAGGATGGCAACATTTTTGCTGATCCTCATAATTATGGCCAGGTCCTGAGACTTGGAACTGCCAATAGAGGGCCTCTGAGTGTTGATAGCAACAACCAAAACCACCACAAGGTTCACAGCCACAATGGCCAAGGCTGGGATGGCAAATGCTAAAAGGGCTTTGGTATTGTCCCAGTTAAGCCAACAGGCATCAGATCTCATGTAACCTCTCTCTGGCACTGTAATAGCAACTGTAGTACCAGCAATGACCAACGGGCACCCATAGCCGATGGCAAAGCCAATGGCCATCATGCGGGACTTCATCATCCTACGGAAAACAACTAATATCCCATAGATGATGAGCAGTGCTTTGAAGAACATCCAGAAAAACAGAGAAAGGTAGAAAAGGTGGCTGAAAAATGTCAGCGCAACACACCAGTTGGAGTCCTGGGCCTTTTTGTGAAAGTTAGAGTTTATGATGAACCACACATTAGCAATCAGGAGCGACACAGCTATGTTCACGATGCACACGTGACGCATGTAGGATATCTCTGTCACAACCACGCGGGACCAAACAGCAGCTTCAATGATCAAGCAAAGAATCAAGCTAAAGATGGAGATGCTGAGCCCAATGCAGGTGATGTAGTCCAGGACTTTGTTGTCAATAGATTTGGGGGACATTAGAATGGAAAAGGACATCACCATGTTGGTGTAGTTACACTGGCATTTTACTTTGTTCACGATCTCCAATGTGGTTTCACACACATTTTCATCCCACCTCCTTTTCCTGGAGTGCCAGCCAACACACCGGGCCCTGGCATTCTGGGATTTATTGATCTTCTCGAAGGTGAATAAGACTTGTTGCAATCTTTCTGGTAAAATCACTGAAAAGACAAGACCATTTACAGGTCTAGGAAGACTCACATTCTGCAGGTGGACTTCTCTCAGGATGGCCCCCAAGGTGGGAAAAGCTATGCTGATGGCTTGGGATGCATTTGGTGACAACTTCCACAGCTCTTGCCTGGGAATTTCTATCATTCCTATGATACCCTCTGTCATATTGTTCATGCTCATGGAGAAATTGAACTTTTTCTCTAAGGTATCATTGTTGATGCAAAATGTTTTTGCCTGAATGAAGAGCTCATCCACAATGTCCTCAGAATCATCGTGGACGTGGAGTTGCCTCGCAAACAGATTCATTGACTGCAAAAATTCTGAGCTGGTATTTTTGTCTGGAATGAAAGCCCAATTTGAAATGGCTGCTGTGTCGAGGATGTGGTTGGCCACTTCACTATAGCTCTGCAATGGAGAAAAAGTGGAGATTTACACTATGGACTTACACATTATTGTACAAAGTCGATTTCTAAAATCCGAAATTTGTAAAGATGAAATGATCTGATCTTATTTAACACATTTTTCTTTAAATTCACTGTTTATTAGAATTTCATGCTAATAAGACTTCAGAGAGGGAAGAAAAGTAATACAATAATTAAAATCAGATAGAAATCACAGGTATCATTTACTTGCTTTATTATGTCCCTGCGGCAGCATTTCCAAACTGCATTCTCTATAACTCAAGATTCCCATGAGATATTAATGATTGTTTAATGGAAGAAATTGGGGGTAGATTCTATAAAAACTTAAATTTGAGAAATGCTGCATGTCCTATCCCAATATCGTCTACTCTTATAAGAAGGGCCAAACTTCATTAACACACGAAAAGTTCTAAAAAGTCCTGGTCTAAGGGAACCTGCTTAATTTTGTTTAACCCAAAATTCCTACATCTGCTATGTACAGATCTCCCCTTTAGAAATGAAATCTCCATTAATGTTTTTTGAAACAATTATGTTCTACAGAATGGAATCCGGTCAACACTTGAGTAGACACAGTCTAGTTCACAGCCAACCTTTTGTGACCTTCTCTTGAAAATAGTTTGTACAGGGGCGCCTGGGTGGCTCAGTCAGTTAAGTGTCCAACTTAGGTTCAGGTCACGATCTCATTGTTTGTGGTTTTGAGCCCTGTGTCAGGCTCTGTGCTGACAGCTCGGAGCCAGGAGCCGGCTTTGGATTCTGTGTCTCCCTCTCTCTCTGACTCTCCCCTCTCATGTTCTGTGTCTCTATATATCAAAAATAAATAAAAAGGAACAAAAAAGAAAAAAAGAAAATACTCTACAAAAACACGTATTAAAAATGTGCTAACTTCTCGAAAACATCTATAAACTAGAGTGAGTCAATACACAAGACTGAATAAAATGCCTCTCATTGTTATGGTTGCCATGGTTGTCATACTTCATACCCTGAAAAGTACATTTGGAACTGTTAAAATGCAAGATTTGGTTTAAAAAAAATAGGAGCCTGTCAGTATTTTCAATGAAATGAACAAAGGATACCTTCATCTTCTCTCGGGTAACGTTATCAGACAAATCTGTAGAAATATTTCTTAATAACTCCACTATAAATGCAATGTTTCCAGAAGTGGCTTCTGATGATTTCACAACATCAGTTATGCAGGCATAATCAATTGGACAGTTCCTGCGGATTCCTTGGGCTACACTGTCCATGGGCTCTGGAGCTCGGAAGTCTAGAACATGCAGAGGGATGGACGCTGCAGCTACGGAAAGGCGTAATGCACTATTGAAGTCCTGTTTTTAAAAAAAAAAGTTTCTTGGTTCAAAAATGATTAAGAACATAACATATATCAGAGTAAACGAGCTAAAGTCACAACAAGCCACATGGGGAAAAACAGACAGAGAAGCAAGTGGCCCTGAAAAGTGAATGTCGAGAAAGATGGAGAGAGGAAGGCAGAGTCATGCTCAGACAAGAGGTTCCACCAAAATTGTTCCAGAGATCAGGATACTGACCTATTGCTTCCAGGACAGTGATTTTAACTTGAGTAGGATAACAAGACAGTTTTCTCCAGAGATATGGTGAGATTCTAAAAACAAAATTTGCCTTTTTGATTTTTTTAAAGGGGAGTCACATGGAATTGGGGAGGAATGGGTTTTGGAAGTTGGCAGGTCAAACAAAGAATGCTAAATTGTAATTTCAAGAAGTTTCGAGCTCACTAATTAGGAGAAAGTATACACAAATCCAACTGTAGAGCTCACACTTGAACCTCTAAGCATTCACCGTTGTGTGAATGAGTTTCAGATCTATTTTTGAGAAAAGATGCTGAGAGGGAGAAGAAGGGGGTGGTGGGGGGAGAGTATCGGAGAGTTTGGGTAAGGAAGGAGAGGAGACAAATTTCACCCACCCCACCATTTTCCCGAGTCCAAATCTGAGATTTATTGTCAGGCTGAACAGAACACATGAAAAATGCTTCTACCACCCCCTGGGGAATTAGCTCTAGAAGCCAATAATATGCAAATACATCACCTTAAATAATGTTTCCACAGATAGGCTTGTACACGTTTCAGTTGATTTTTGCCACTCGTTTTGATGACATGTAAATCCTATTTCTCCCCAAAAGTGCTGAGCACAGGGCTGGCTGCATTTAGAAGTAGTGAAGCAAGGTCCATGGCATTTCTCTGAAAAGGAAAAGGGTGGGTTAACATTTCTACACTCTCACAGAGGCGGCTAACATTCCCGAGATTTGCGGATTCCTTTCCAGAGGAAGTGACATTGAATTGTCCTCAGCACCAAGTAAGCCTTGCCAAGTGGATTGCAAAGCTGATGTCTAGGCAGAGAGAACAACACATAGAGAGAAGGGATCACAGGTCATACAGAAAGGCTGGTTCAGAGCATCTGAGGGGAGAGTAGCATGACGTGAGCATGGGACAAATAAGCAGGGGGCAAGACATGAAGGACCTTAAATTCTGTGTGAATATGGGGGTTACCAGAAAACATGATTGGATTTGTTTTTGAAAGATAATTAACGATAGCGTAGGCAGTCAAATTCTCTGTAAAGGACCAGATAGAGTTGCCAGATAAAGTACAGGAGGCCCAGTTATATATTAATCTTATTTTTCAGATACACTCTATTCTCATTATTTGCAGTAAAGTTATGTTCTGCTGTCACAAACACTAAATGAGGGGAAATCAAGACAGGTTCTTATGAGCTTCATCAACCAGTCAATATAGGAGCTCATTTTGTGTGTTTCCATTTAAAGATATCTTATTTATGTTGTTGATTCATTAGCATTAAACTCATAGCCAATAGCACCACAACTCATAGCAGCAAGTGAGCAAAGCTTATCTAACATGTGCATTTACTCCTTAAGGTACACAATAGCCTTTTTGGGAACACCAGAACTACCCTCAGGAGTCATTTTAAACAGCACCAATCACCAACAAAATCACCAACAAAGAGCACAAAAGGCAAAACCTAGGCCACTACATACATCACAAAAAGAACACTTGTTTATGATAGGAGAGCTGGAACAAGAAGGCAGAGAGCCACCTTGTTTGTTTCAGAACTGACACCTTAGCTAACTCAAATTCATTTTTCTTCTGTCTGTGAATGATCCAGAAAGCATTGTAAGTAGAGATTGGGGGGTTACAAATAAATTTCAAGGAGCAAGAGAATTTGCAAATACAGAATCCACAAATAACAAGGATCCACTGAAAACGTTCAGTTAAACAATGAATAAGTTTTTAATGTACATAGGACCCATGTAATATCATTCATTGTTTGATATTTAAGTTTAACGAGGCATTCCATATTTTTAATTGCTAAATGACAACTGTAGCCAGAGAGTAAATATTTTCAGCTTTGGAGGCTATGTGGTCTCTGTCAAAACTACTTAGCTCTGCCCTTGTGGCATGAAGGCAATCAAAGATAATATGTAAATAAATGGGCAAAGCTGTATTCCAATAAAACTTTATTTCTAAAACCTGGAGGCAGGCCTCATTTGGCCCCTGCGTAAAGTGGATTGACTTGAGGCAGGGAGCCCAGGAATGAAGATGTTGGAGTAGTCCTGGGAAGAATTGCCTTAGGACAGTGGTAGTGGAATAAAAAAAGGTAGATCATAATGGGAGCTTGGTAAGGTGTTGAAATCAGTAAGATATGGTGACTGATAGGTTGTGAGTCAAGGGATGTGTCTATATTTGTGGCTTGGACAGCTCTGTGGTTGACTCCATTCATGGAGAAAGGAAACAAGTAAGTTTGCATTTTTCTTTACCACCTACCCAACTGTATCTGGTTTTGCAAGCTATTTAAGCTGAGCATTTCTCAATTTCTTTATCCATACAATTTAGAGGCAATGCCATAGTCTTGTTGCAAACATCGAAGGAGATAGTATCCTGTCCAGCACTTAGATTGCTGTTGTCATAAATACTCAATGAAGGTTAGATATCTTTCTTCTCTTTTCTCAATTTTACATCTATTTAGAGATGTATTTGGGCTAAAAGTATAGTTGGTCATGTCTGTGGAGAATCCAGATATCTCTACTATTTGGGTGAGAATCGCGTGCTTTCACTATCATATCATGATTATCTCCATAGTTTATTTCTGACTTCTTTAGACAAACCAGGCTCACCAACACGATACCTATCTTACATCACTTCAATAGACTTCTCAGCGCCAGAGCGTTACCTACACTTAAGCATCCTGAAAATATCTTTGTACGAAGAAGGAATGAATTCTGCCCTGTTGCCTCTGCTGCCTTGTTAGCTCATTAGTTCAGATTTTCCTTAGGGGTTTTAAAGTGAACACATGCCTTCTACTCTAGAACACATGTGAATATTTGCTGAACTGCATCAGTGACTATGTCATGGATAATGGTACAATTGTAAGAAAGTCTATCAATACTGATAAACAATGAGAGCTTGTTAGAGACTGCTATTCTAGTTGAAAGCTTGTGGTCTGGTGACAAGCTTGGCAATCTCCATGCTCTTCCCTCGCTCTGCCCAGTCTCCAGATGGAAGAAGACTATTCTGTAGACACATACCTTGTATCCTTCCAGTCTTGAGTTTCCCTTCAGGATGTTGATGTTTATCTCCATCCTGTAAAACATAAATTCCCAAAGGTCCTCTTACTGGACTCTTCTCTCTCATCTCAACATAGAGGCTCCATGCCAATGTGAAGTGAAAACATGTTCAGGACAACAGGCCAGAAAACTGGACCAGGTCCATGTGTGATATTGTGGGAACTTGAGGAGGGAAGCATAGAGGTGAGCACAGACGAAGAGCAAACTATTTTCTATGAGGGCTAAACCTTGCCAGTGGTCTCTTGGTCTCTGAAGGTCAATCTCTTAGTGGATTGAATACATAGTTTGGAAAGTTTTTTCATTTTACACAATGAACATTACTCTTTATTTTTTTTAGCTTATTTATATTGAGAGAGAGAAAAAGTGCAAATGGGGGAGTGGTAGAGAGAGAGAGAGAGAGAATCTCAAGCAGGCTCAGCACTGTCAGCACAAGCCCAGTGCAGAGCTTGATCTCACAAACCATGAGATCATGACCTGAGCTGAAAGCAAGAGTCCAATGCTCAACCGACTGAGCCACCCAGGGGCCCTGGAGAAGTTTAAGTGCCCAGGGAGAACACAGATGTAACAATTATAACACTAAACTGGTCTCCATCTATATTAACTGTAACTATGAAATGGACCTAAGATGATCCACCAGATACCATAGATCCCCAAAAGAAAGACATATGTAGATGCTAGGAATAATTGTCAGGTGACAATAACAGAATCACAAACTCTTCTGTAGCTATAAAGGGCTGCAAAAATCATCTAAAAGAGAAAAAACACCCTTTATGTTATAGATAAGACAATTAAGACTCAGAACAAAGCAACTTGTGCAGCTAATGAGAAGGACAGTTAAGGTCTGGAGCTGAATCAGTAGCTGCCAAGCTAATACTTCCTCCTCCCACCGGCTGCTGTCTACATAGAATAGAAAACAGCCATTTTCTACTCTACTGTTGCTCTGTGTCACACCCTGCAAATATCCTGTTGCAAGGCCCAGCCACCTCGCCTCTCAACATTTCTTTGTTTCCTTTAAAAACAAACAAAACTATCGACAAGACTAAACTTGTAGTCATTTAAAAATTTATTTTAAATCATATTATTTATCATAAATTTAGCCATCTGGGAGAACTGACAGATTTCTCACGGGACCACAAAAGCACGGATCAAACTTACTTGGATGTGGATCTTGGATCTATAGTGAGAACATTCTGTGGCCAGAAATAACATTAAACAGCAAATCATCGTTTCCTGGGACTTCATTTTTCACGCATTAGAATCTTCACCTGTAGTAGAATGAAAGCGGATCCAGCTAATAGGGCCAAACAACACAAAACTTAGCCAACTAACAAAACACTGGGTGACCCTACTGGGTACTCTGAGATGTGCACACCAAAACATCCTGCTCTAGGAAAGAACACCAATATCTACTTTCAAGTCAGCTCACATGGAAAAAAGAAAAAAGAAAGACTTTTTCTCAAATGTTAACTTTTCTACAAATACACGGGAATGATGGAAGGATCAGGAAAGACGCATGTTCACCAAGACATCGTTTCTGATTATTTAATTTACAATTTTCTGCAATAGTAACATTTCTCAAGAACTTTTATTTGTTAATCACTCTTCTGAGCACTGTCTTTACTATCTTCATTGTATCCGGGGAGAAGCTAAGGTACAAAGCGTTGAGCAACTATGAGCTAAGTTCACTCAGATGAACAGTGCTGAAGCCAAGAGTTCAACCCAGAGGGCTTAGCCAGAAAGCCAAGCTCTAGAGCAGGGTCTCTTGGCAAGGGCACCATTGACATTTTCGGTGGGATAGTTCTTTGTTTTGGGGGCTGTGTTGTGAATTGTAGGATGTATAGTAGCATCACTGGCCTCTATCCACCATATGCTAGGAGCCGCCTCCTGCCCAGTTGTGACAGCCAAAAATGTCGCCAGATATCTCCAAATGTGCCCTGGGAGAGAAAATCACCCTCCATGAAGAACAACTGCTCTACAGTGTACAGTCTCTCTAGGCACTATGGAGTCAAATAACTTAAAATGAAATGAATATACACTATTGTCTGCTACTAGAGCAAGCACTGAAACACTCTCATAGATAGATCAACTATTACTCATAGAAACACTAGAAGATACCTCTCTGTTCTTGCCTTCTTTTTTTAAAAAAAAAATCATTGACATGTAACAATATATTAGTGCAAGCATATAACGTCATGATTTGATATTCGTATTTTTCCTAAATGATCAGTAGGTCTTGTTAACATCCATAACCACACATAGTTACAAATCTTTTTTTTGTGGTGAAGCCTTTTTCTTGATAATTCCACCTTTCAAAGACAAATCTCCAAGAAAGCATCTTTACAACAGTTGGAATTCATCAATATCATCATGATCATCACCACCATACTTCTAGGATCGTGGAATCTAAGACCATTTATTGGTAGCAAATTTCCCTAGAATGATTTTCCTGGTAGTACAAATGCAGCAAAGTGAAAATACCGTGGGTTTTAGAAACAGCATGAATTAAGTTGTTATCATATTTATGGTATTGAAGAACTATTTGACCCTCACGAAGCCTATTTTCTTTCTTATCTATTTCATAAAATGTAGGATGATTACTTATTCTACCAATGACCCTTTACCAAGTGCCTCCTATTTTCCAGGAACTGTACCAGTGTCGGGGTATGGAAAAAAAGGTGCTGTCATTTCCATTAAGGATGTCTGGTGAAAAATACAGACAAGTGAAACCAATAGTGAGAAGAGAGATCATCCACGTACTGCACATAGGGAACAAGGCCAGGCAGAAACTGAACCTCAGCAAACATAAATCCCTTTATGCTCTAATGGAGATGAACTAACTCTAATCCATCTAGGCTCACCAAGCAACCTGTGACCAGGGAGCAAACAAAACTTAGCGATCGGGAATCAAACTCTTCGTGGGTGGAGTCAAGATTGAGATGATCTTTCATGACTCTGGTGAACCTTCACATGAGATGATGAGCCACAGGCACTTACGGGAAGGCTTCCAAATTATCTTTATGTTTACAATTCTTTGAGTTCCTAAACAATGAACATATAGGGAAAGTATTTTGACTTGTACTATCATCTTGTAGAGCGAGTCTGAGCAAGGGAAAGGAAACATGGCAGAATGACCAAGTGTGGTAATGGATTTGCATAGTTGTTGGGATATGTGTGTGGAATTCATGATGTTACAAGAGTGGTTGAAAGAAGTTCTCATGCATACAGCCAATTGATGAATGAGTACACTAAGTAATTTGCAATATTAATATTGTTTGGGATAGATTTTTAACTGTCATCACCAAAGGAAATACCAGAAGAACCAGAATAAGTTGTCTTAGACGTATCCATATGTTTCTCATATACACCTGCGGATTTCAATTTTTTTTTATCCTGATACAATAAAAAAAAAGATCTTACATCATGACTCGTTATGTAAAGACATATATATGTAGATATACATACATAAAACTTAAAAATACATAATTTTTGTATTTCAAAAACTTTTTTGTAAAATTACTTATCCTTCCCACCTATGAGCAAGACACTCTGCTGTGTCCATGATTTTTATCTTGCATTCCACTCTACCTGACGTTCTTTCAGAAATTGGTTGCCACCCACTAAATTGAATCCAAAACTCTCTAATGGGTTGTAGCCTACAGTCTGAAAAACAGAAATGCAGACTGAAAGATTCATTTTCATTTTCAAATCAAACATCGTTCACTTCTCCCACTGAAGTGGTCCTTTTGGTCTTTTCTCTTTTCTTATTTTTCACAATTCTATTGAAATCTTCTTCCCAAGGTACATTCATCAGGGAAAAAAGATACCTACATTCAGGGTCAAATAATAGGACTGATGCTGAGAGTCAATGCAATTCTCTTCCACCCGGAGAGCATGGTTGGAAACGCACAGTGAAATGGGTTAAGGCAAGTCAACAGGGGGGCACTTAGAAATAAGAATGCCTGCTATCTAAGGCATCAGGAGGAAAGCTTTTACTGTCTACAGTTTTCAATATGAGAATTTCACTTTAAAGTTAATCTTGCTGGAAGAAAATCAGCCATTTGGCACAATGATGTGCTGTGATGTGATGTGATTTAGGAAGTCCAAAACTGTTTTCCCAATGAGTGCTAGGAGCTCTAAATCCACAGCTCCTGAAATGTTCAGGAAGGAAAGGAGCCAACAGTTGCAGCATTTTCTGTGGATCATTATGCTCTATGTGGAACATTATGAAATAATGACACATTCATTTTTCCTAAGAAAAAAATTACTAGCAGACAATCTATATGCAGTGTGAAGTCATAAGCATGTCCATGAGAAACACAAACTTTGAACTGAGCACAACTGCCTGTTTGGAGAGTTTGGGTTGATTTAACTTGCTATTCCACCACCAACCATGTTCTTATAGTCTGATGTATGTAACGCATCTACCATTTTGTCTGATAATTGTATGGTAAATTTCCTTCAATTATGAAAAATACAAAGGGGGTAGGGTATGTTTGATGATGTTACCCAAGAGGAGTCACAGCATTCTTATTTTCCTCAGTTTGATTGGCAGGGAAGGGTTGGACAGATAAATGTTTTCAAGATAGTCCCAGCTGAATTGTTTCTATTATCACCAGAAAGAGTAGAATGGATCCATCTCATTGCAATTTGGATATGCCCAAATCCAGAGCATTCTGCGGGGAACACTACGAGCCAGAGCTTAAGAGCTCTGAAAATGGAGAATTGAAAAGATTTTAGAAACATTTCCAGGATAATTCATAATCCAAGACTGATATTTTATAGAACGAATGGAAGAAACATACTTTCTGAGATCCACCATTGCTAAAGACTTCATTAAAGCAAACTGAGTTTTGCATAATGCCGAACTACAATTTTTCTGCAAATAGAAAGTACTTCTCTAAAAGCACACTCCAGCACAGTGTCTGCATGTAGTAAGTGACCTCTTGAGAGAATGAGGAAAAGAACAAGGATACACAATCTAAATATTCAAAGTGACAAGAGTGGACTGTCCAAAAGAACGTCAGCAAAAACATGGACTATACCGGAGGAAGCAGCTTTCCACTGTGAATCTAATCAAGGACGACTTGCCTGGCCCAAGGCTCTGCTAGTTACTAGTGAAGAGAGGCTGGATGCCAGGGTCCATCCCACCTGGAGAATCCAGAGTTATTCTATAGCCAGTATGCTTAAGTTACCTTCATACCATTTATTGACTTCTGGTTTTCCAGTGTGTTCAGTTTAACAAAAAAAAATCATATGTTTTCATAAAATCCCTACCTCTTGAAACCCCTTGGGTATGGTGGCAGAAAAACACTTTGTTGGGAAGATCTGTCACTGGCTATTTACATCAAGATTCTAGTCCCTGGTGGGGGAACATAAAAACAGTGAGCAGTAATTCGGACAGAATAGCTCTGTAACAACACATATTTATGTCCAGGGTTGACACACATTACCCGCCACTTGCTTGCCATGTTCGTCGCAGTCACCAAAGTTGAATTTTAAAAAAATGGAAGAACAACCTGACCGTGAAGGCATTTATATACACTGATTTAAGTGTTCTGTGACTTCAGGAAATCTGCCTGTTTTATTCCTACTAACAAACAATAAAGAGTTTGGTGTCAGTTGTGTTTGGCCAGGATATTGTGTCCTGAAGCAAGTTTCTGTGGAATACTGGTCTCATAAAAGACTAAGGGGTTCCATGGTCAGATGGGTTGGAGAATGTACCAGCACCGGCGCCCCCAGCCCCTCACACATACATATATGCATAACACAGTTTCTGGAAATCCTTGTAATAAAAAGACCCGTTTCATCATAATTTTACCAAATTTATTTTATCATCAAAAGTGCCCTAGGTGGGAGTGGGGAGGGTGCCTGGGTGACTCAGTCGGTTGAGCGTCTGACTTCGGCTCAGGTCATGATTTCATGGTTAGTGAGTTCGAGCCCTGCATCAGGCTTTGTGCTGACAGCTCAGAGCCTTGAGCCTGCTTCACATTTTATGTATACTTCCATTCTCTGCCCCTCCCTTGCTTATGCTGTGTCTATCTCTCTCTCTCTCTCTCAAAAATAAATAAACATTTAAAAGTTTTTATAAAAAGTGCTCTGGGGGAACTTAAGGCAGCTGTTCAAGGACCACATGGCATCTTGGAACATGTTAATGCACCCAGACTCAGGCTCCATGAGCATTTGTTGGGCACCTACCATATGCCAGTCCTTGTGCTGATACCTTCATAGAAAGTCACTGACTGTGACCCAAAGTAGCACAGCAGAGAGGAACAGACCTAGCCTTCAGTGAATCCTGAAAGAAGGAGGCAGCAGAGAGGTCGTCGTTAACAGTGAAAAGAGTCAGAAGTGTCCCGAGACATAATGCTCTGAGCGGAGAGGTAAGGAAAGGCAGGCATGGATGGGTGGCGATAAGATGTTTGGGGTGATCGCAGGAAGGGAAAGGCAGGCTCAGAAATGGACAATTAAAAAGAAGAGGAGAAAACTAAATGCAGAACTTATGCCTGAGGCCTCTGTGGCGTTTAGGTACACAAAGGGTCATCTGACGTTTAGGAAGAAACAAGGCCCACATCTTGTTCCCAGAGTGCCTGAAAGATGACCTATTTCAGAGATGGAAGCAACAAGCAGACTGCATTGGCAGCTTCTCGGGTTCTAGAAAAGTAACATACCAAATTCCTCCTCCCTGCCTCTACCACCTGCCTCTCTCTCTCTCTCTCTCTCTCTCTGTGCATCCTTATAAAAGTGAATTACCCACTACCATCCACCTCTGTCTTTCACTTGAGAATAAACAGCAATTCTAGGCCACTGAATGGAAGCCGGACTCTCTGCTGTAACAGAGCGATTACTTCAAAAACAGAGAGAGACACAGAGAGAAAATAGCCTTTCTTGGCCCCAGAGGCTGACGACAATGTAGCTAGTTAGACCCAACAATCCCAGTGGCTCAGTCACAGCAAGAGAGGCGTCCGGTACCACTGCACGAGCTCGAAGCCCTGATGACAAAGGGCTAGCAGAGCACAACACTTGGTCCTGCCAACGCCAGAGCCTGGGGGAAATTAGCCTGCACCTGGCAGATTAGGACCAAAAACTCAGGTTGCCATTAGTCAGGAGGTGAACACAGAAGGGTAATTTCTCTGTCCCCAGCGCCCCGCAGGCTGGGAGATGCATAATGATACCCAGTAAGCAGGTGTTGGATATATGGATGGATGGGCGAATGACCCCTGCAGAGAATGATGACAACTTCTGAAGCTTTTGTTTAAAAATCATAAGGCAGCTTCTCGATCTTACAGGGCAACATGAGCATATTTGCAACTCTAGATGCTTTGGGGAACCTGGTGATTTAAGTAGAAATGCTCCCAGGGGCGCCTGGGTGGCTGAGTTGGTTAATCATCTAACTTCGGCTCAGGTCACGATCTTGTGGTTCGTGGGTTCAGGCCCCACATCCTGCTCTGTGCTGACAGCTCAGAGCCTGAGCCTGCTTCGGATTCTGTGTCTCCCTCTCTGCCCCTCCCTTGCTGGTGCTCTGTCTCTCTCTCTCAAAAATAAATAAACATTAAAAAACTTCTTAATAAAAAAAAAGAAAGAAAGAACAACACTCCCAGCCCACCTCTCTGTTAGACTACCTGGAGCCTTATGTGACAAAGGATTGCAAGGTCCCATCCAGGTGCAGCAAGGAACAATGTCCTGCCAGGTTAGTGACATCTGCCACAGGCAAGGCAGGGCAGGTGTCCTTGCTGCCTGGTGTCCACAGTCAGAGTTCACAAAACACTTCCTGGGACAGACCCAGAGGACCCCAGCTGCTCTGAAACACCATCTCCTATCTGTCCCACCTCCCTTGTGCTAAGAGCGTTCTACGCGCCAGAACGGGCTGGGCTGTAGGGAATGAGTCATGAAGCCGAGGCACCCCGCACCTGCCTGGACACGCTGTGTGAGGGCTAGCATCAGGACTCTCAGAGCAGATGGAGAAGGTACAGCCTGGGAATGGCAACCACAGTCAGCCAGGAGGGAATGCACTGAAGGCCATGATCTCTCAAATACCTCCACGCAGAACACCCTAAGGTGAGCTAGAATGTTTGTAAACGAGGTGGACACTTTCCCAAAGGGTTCCCCTCCATGAACTTCACCCCAAGGTGAGAGGGAGGGCCTATTCACTTGTTGGCTAATCTGGCCAGCAACTCACTCACACTCCTTGGCCAATCCCTTTGATGGCAAGAACCAGTCCAGAAAGGTTAACTGAGGGTGAGGACTTAGAGTCTGCTGACCCACATGTTGGGGTGTGTGTGTTTTGTTCCCCTCAGCTGAATTTCATAACCGTACACCCCATCTACTCCTCTGGTATAATTAGAGCTCTGATTATATAGTCAGACGGCTAAACAAGTTGTTTGCGCGTTCTTGATCTCAGTAATCGGATGGATTCAGTCACTCTTACCAGCTGTCCCTTGCCATGGAGGAGATGTTTCATAAGGAGCCTTGGGGGAAAAGACAGATGTAAAAGACCTATTAGAATCAGAAGCATCTTATCCCCGGCTATTTTAGATGGCTTCCAGCCAATCTCTACGTAGCTCAGTATCTTTTCTGAGAGTTGCAGTCTGGATTCAAATAATGTTAAGTTTCAAGAATCACATGATTTCAGAGTCTGGAAGGTATCTAGCATCTGGCCAACTATCTTGAGATTTATATGATTTTAAAGTAATTGATAAAGGGGAATTGCTCTGTTTCATGAAGAAAGACACACACACACACACACACACACACACACACAAATAGCACCTTACGACATACACTTGAAAGGCCGCAATTGTCCTCAGAATATAAGAAAGATAGGCCATCAAAGGTACTATAGACCACTCAGAACAAGGGTATATATATGCCTTTGTAAAGAGGTTTCAGCAGTAACTGAAGGAAATGTTTTCTTTTAAGTTGGTATAAAGACAACTGTATCAGCCCCACTAAAAGAAGAAACTACTAAAGAATGCTTGATTTTATCTATATCTATATCTATATCTATATCTATATCTATATATGTACACACACACACACACACACACAACTTTACATTGAGCCTAAAGGAAGGCGATTGAAAGCTGGTTTGCTCATCCATTTTATCAAGCAAGGGGACAATCAGAGAACAGAGAGTCTAATTTCCTGACAAGGTGCTTTGCATTTTCACTCCTGGGAGTGAGCAACTGGACCCCGACAAACGACTTTTTAAAGAAAAACAAATGTAAAAGAGATCTAGGAAATACTTTAACCTTGAGCTAGCCGGTTTGTAAATAATGTTAGGAAAGTTTCCTGCAGAATCAAGTGTTCCAGAAAATGCCACCATCCATCACATGTTTTCCCCATTCCGGATTACATGTGAAAACAGTACGGTCTTCCGCAGGAGAAAGATTTTGTTGTGATTTGTGTACTCACCGCATCCAGCTGGAAAGTTGGCACTGAGCTCCACAACGCTGCGCTCCACCATCGCGCGTGCCTGCCTTTGAATCTGCCATGGTCCTTCTTCAGCGGCTGTGATCCCTCTTCTCCATTGTTGAAAGGGAAATCCAAGAGGCCCCAGTGCAAGCCAGCCACCTGTTGTGAGAAGCCTATCTGAGAAGTAAAACCGCCCAGGGTTTCAAGGCTTGTGTAAGTGTGTGATTCACTCCACTATGGGTGCATCAAGCACGCCTAAGAGAAATTACAGGTTTCTCCCGTCTGAAGCAAATCCATTAAAATGAGTCACTTGTTTGTGCTTTAATGCCTCATCTTTATCTCGGATGATCACCTGAGGCTGTGTTGCGTCTCCTGCACTGGTGTAACTAGAACACAGGAGACAAAAATGCGAAGTTGTGCCGCTCTTGTAGATGATTCTAGAAGGCTATCACATTTTGCCTGTATTGATGTTGAACTTGGGGGAAAACTGGCTAGGAAGTGGTTTGGTAAACCATAATCTAACATCTACCTTACGCCAAAGAAATTTTTGTTTTAATTTTTTAATAACTGGGCCAATAGTTGTCATTGGCCCTGGGCCACGGCCATGGGGAATTCAGACACAGAAGGCACAGTCTTCACTTGCAGGAAACTTCACAGGGTCTGACTTCCGACAGGGTAGCCAGTTGGCTTTTCTTCCTCACCACCAACATCCGTACATCCCAATTCTAGTGCCTTCTATTTACGTACTCTTTCAACCACAAAATCTAACACAAACCTCCATTTGCATAATGTTGACAATAAGGAGAAATAAGGGAAAAGACAGTTTTGTTACATCTCTTACCGTAGTGAAATTTAAGGAGGCCATGTTTGTGAAAATAGGTCATTTCTACTGAGGTTGCTAGTTAAGTACTGAGTCATTTGGGAATCAGAAAAGCGAGTATCAGCAAACCTTCGGTTGTGTAATCAAAGGCCTTTATTGAACACGTTCTATGTGTAAGACACTTTGCTCTGCACTTCGGGCATACAAAAGGGAGTAACATAGCGAGTAAATAAAATAAGTAACGCTGTCCCCCACGGCTTACAGTATGATCTGAGAAAGAAAATATATGTACACTGAAAGACTAAAACTAAACAAACAATAAAACACTATAAATACTAAATATAAAGTGAATGGCACAGATTACAAATATTATAGGAAGTCAGCTGGGGACAATCAGCACTTCTGGTGGGACTTGTCAAGGAAGACATCACAGAGAAGGCAAAAAAAAAAAAAAATCAGAGGGGCTCCTGGGTGGCTCAGTCGGTTAAGCTTCTGACTTTGGCTCAGTTCATGATCTCACTGTTCATGGGTTTGAGCCCCGCATCGGGCTCTGTGCTGACAGCCAGCTCAGAGCCTAGAGCCTGTTTCCGATTCTGTGTCTCCCTCTCTCTCTAACCCTCCCCTGCTCATGCTGTCTCTCTCTCTCTCTCTCTCTCAGAAATAAATAAAACATTTAAAAAATTTTTTAAAAAAGAAAGGAAATCAGAGCTCAGAAACTGTGCACCCTGAATAGAACCCCATGGTTTATACCCTTTCTCAGGCAGGAGACTCTATATTACAACCATGGTAACACTGAATGAAAGAACTGTCTAATGGTATGCTCAGCAGATTTTGTGGGCTGATACCCTTGATGTTGAACAGACTGAATCAAATGCTTAATTCTTTTATGTAGAAGTCAGTCAACTAACTTCCATGAGAGAGTCTATCTCCAGACTCATGCAAAAGGCCATACTTGTGTGTTTGCTTGTGTTTGCGTGTGTCTGTGTGTGTACATGAATTCACAGGTACTCTAATAAAATTAAACAGCTAACATTTGAATGGCCAAGTGCTGTTCTAAGTGTTTTATCTACCCTTATACATTTAATCTTTACAATAGCCCTATGAGGTAGACTCTACTTTTTTCAACTTATGGATGAGAAAATCAAAATCGAAGGAATTTAAATAACTTTCCCAAGGATCTTCATCTATTAAGTGTCTAACAATGAATCTGCCTTAGACACTGTTAGCACCAATTTCTTCTTGAGCCACCTGACCAAGTCCCTTCCTCCGGGAGATGTGAGCAGGACATTGAAAATGTCTCCACTCAGGGTTTTCCAACGTCAACCCAAACATGTGGTTCACAGACACTTTTCAGGATGGGGCAGACTGGGTTTTGGCCTGAGGAGAGGAGGCACAGTTTCTTCAAGGGAGTTCCAAAAACTTCTGGAGTTTCTTTGTTAGCATCCATGGGCCCTTTCCTGGAGAATAAGAATCCCAAGCTAGGATGTCTTCATTACTGCCATCCCATCTTAGGAATAAGAAGTGAGTACATCGGAGCAGAGGGTGCTTTCATACTAGATGTGACTGCCAAATTCTTAACACTGATGAAATACTGATGAAAGACTAAATTCTCTTTCTCTTGCTAGTGCTCAGCGTTCTCATCTGTAAAATGACCCCATTGGACTCCATCTTTTCTAAAGTTTTTCCAGATTTCTAATTCTATAACTATTTAGCTTCATAAGCTTCCGTCCTCACTTCAGTCTATTGGCCCTGGGTAAGTCACGTTTCTTGGTGCTGAGATCTCTGCATTAAGAACACCAGGACTATGCCTGCCGCACTCCCCTCCCTTGCAGAAACTCTACAGAAATACCAGGAAATGTCAAATTAAAATTCCTTTCTGTATTCACTTGAGAAGAATGTGATTATTGTCACAAAATAAGCAATGCCACTAGAAAGATGACTTATTCTCCAGGTTGGTGTATTTTTCTACCTTTGGATTAACTTCTTTCTTATATTTTTTGCTTTTTTCAAACTTCCTTACTTTGAGAAAGCTTTTTTTACAGTAAAAAGTAGAAAGAGAGAGAGAGATCCCTACTCATTCACAAGGGAGTCTCATTTTCCCATTTGTAATGTAATGTCATTAATACTGGCTTTGTGGTGGGATAATTAGGGGCTACTCACTGCCCCCTTTTCCTTTATCCACTATGTTGATCTGATGCATCAGTCTGGCTGCTTGCTTCATTAAGAAGCTTTCTTTTTCCCTCTGAAGGGGATTCTATCTATTGTACTGTTCTCCTCTCAGGTGGCTCCTCATTTGAATGTCAAATTTGTTTACACACAACATTAGGAAAATGAGCAGCTTTCTACTTGAAATAGGATAGTTCCTCTTCCTCATCACTGGTTTCAAAAAAACATATCGTCAGTGAGGGTTAATCTTATACCATCAGAGTTGACAGAGTCCCTCTGCAGCTCCATGTCTTCAGGAGACCTGAGTCCAGAGCTGGGAGCCTGCAGGCTTGGGTTTCCAGCTCTGGCTTGAGCCTTGACTAGCTGTGGCCCATCACTCTAGGCTCTAATCTTAACTCACAATGAGCATCTTTCTGGTTCAAAAGCTCTCTGGTTTTCACTTGGCGCATGGCCAGGTTGCAGCTAAGCCCAAGCCAAGCTAACTGTGTAATCAATTTAAATTTGGACAGGTGGACTATGTTGCCAGTTGGGTTCCTTTTGTACAAAGAACCAGCAATGACCTACTTAGAGTCAACCCAACCGTTGGTGACTATTCATGAGGGCCCCTCCCTTGGCAACCCATAGAATCCAGCCAGGTGACATCCCAGGCCACCTTTGCCAAGATGAACCAGACTCTCTTCCTGAGGATAAACGTGACCCAACAGCATGGAGCTGGAGCCTCCACAAGTCAAAGGTTCTGCCGCAGCCCACTTTGTCTTTCCGTCCCATTGTGGATGCCCGGCGTGGCGTATGTATATGTTGACAGTTGACGGGGGGAAATGTTTAGCCAGCACAGAACAGCTTAGACAGAGGGGCCTTCCAACCTCCCCACATTTCGCATCTTCCTCCATCAGCACCGCAGCATGGGAGGCTTCCTTCATACTCCCCAGAGGCAAGGAGACAGGAAGAAGCACATTTTCCTGGGGCTCTGCCATTCCTGGATTGTATGACCTTGTCGAGAACAGAACATCACTACGTTAATGAACAGTGGCAAGACCCAAGAGCCTCACAACAACTACATTACAGGCTCACTCTTTCTGGAACAATAAGCCCCTTTGGGTAGACCCTCCTTGGCAAATGGAGAGTCTCTTTTTTTTAAGTCACTCTGGACTCCAGGGAACAGGCTGGTTTTCTACTGCCTGCAAATGCTTCAGTTATAAGTCTTGTCTTTCTGTAAGCAAGACTGCTTCTTCTCCTCTTGGAAAAGACCGTTTTCTTTGTACAAGGCCCTGGGCTGCCACCGAAGGTCTCAGCCACAGAGGCTAATGGGAGCCAAGAAATATTGGGATGGGGATGGGGATGGGGTCTCTGTCTATGTATCTGAATGCCTCTCTCTGCATCTGTCTTCAGCTCTGTCTCTTTCACTCTATGCGTGTCTCTGAGTGAGCCTCAGTCTCTGTGTATGTTTCCTTTTCTGTATATTCTGGGTCTCTCTGTAACCCTTGGCCTCTCTCTGCATCTCTCTGACTCACTGCAAATGTGGGTGTCCTGTTGTGGGTGTCTCCACCTCCCTGTCTGATCCTCTCTCTCTAGATCTATAGAGACATGGACACAGAGGATTGGAAGACGTGTCTGCACATGTCCACACGTCTGGGTGCCTCTCTTGCAACCCAGAGTCACCACGCTCCCTCATGTGTCTCTGTACTTCTGGTTCCCCCCGCCATGACTCCCTTCTCTCTGTTTCTACATCTCTGTCTCTCAGACATTACCTCAAAAGCGAATTAACTTCCACATTATCCCTGAAGCCTCTCACAGGTAGTGTTTATGATAATTCCTTGATCTTTTGACACTAGGGAAAGAGGGGGGCCACTGTAGGATGTGTAGGGACACTATTGATATCATGTCCCAGGGACAGGGAATTGGAGAAAGGAGAGAGGCAGCGGTCATGTAGAGCTGCTTAAATACCCCCCCTTAAATACACTCAGGCTAACTTAACAACCATTCTCAGACATGCCTCACTGTTTTACAGCGACAACAAAAATTTCAGGAGTACAAGAATTAGAAGTATGAATGTAGCTCTAACCATACCTAGAAGAGAATAGATTGTATAAGAAGAATCCTTTCAATCATGAAAAATCTTATGTGGGCGCCTGGGTGGCTCAGTCAGTTAAGTGTTCGACTTCAGCTCAGGTCATGCTCTCGAGGTTCATGAGCTCAAGCCCAGCATGGGGCTCTGTTCTGACAGCTCAGAGCCTGGAGCCTGCTTCAGATTCTGTGTCTCCCTCTCTCTCTGCCCCTTCCCCTACTCTCTCTCTCTCTCTCTCTCTCTCTCTCTCAAAAATAAACTTTAAGAAAAGAAAATTTTAAAAAAGAAAAAGAAAAAAACATTCTTGGTTACAATGTCATGAATTTGGGAACCCCCTTCCTTTGCACTCACCTCCCAAGTTAGGGGTATAGCCGGGTGTGTTAGCTTGGTGCTTTGGTGGGGTGACAAGAGAAATCAGTAGAAAGGTTCTGTTGATAACAGAGCATAGTTGCATTTATCATTATCAGTCTGTTTTCAATGATCACAACTAGTCAAAGCACATAGAGAATCGTGACCTACAGCAATTTATTTTGTCCCTTCAACCCAACCCCCTCCTTCTTTATTTTACCACTCCCGAGAACACAAGGACAGGCTGGTGTGAGAGATCCATCACCGCCCACCTGACCGGGCTCCCTCTCCTGGGGGGTCTCTAGTTTGGGAGGGAGATGGAGAGCTGATAAAACCGACTTGGAACAGCCTAAAGCTAGTGGACAGAGGGAGGATTGCAAGACGTTAGAGTAAATTTACCAGGTTCCTAGACCAGGGTTCATAGCTTTGGCACCTCATCAGAATCACTGAGAAACTTTAAAACAAGCCAACAAAAGTGACAGGTCCTACTCCCTGCTTTAAATTTTCTTGGGTGTATGTGGTTTTTTAAAAAGTTTTCTAGATGTTTCTAAGGTGCGGCCAGCATTGAAAACCACTGACTCAAACAACCAACAAACTGGTTACAAGTTCTGGGTATAGTCCTGCCTTATATTTTATGTACAGATGCCAGGAGAAGTGGGCCAGATGACCACAGAGCAGATTACCCCGTTGGTGGCCAAGTGGATCAGCCACTGCAAACGCATAAGGAAAGGAGCAGTGACTGATGGGGTGGGACTGGAAGAACCAAGCCTCTCCTGACAGCAGGGGGCAGACCCAGTGAGGTGGTAGGGGAAACTTATGCCAGGCAGGCTGGTCAGAGGCAAATATGCTCAAAGCTAGGTACTTGAGGAAGGCGTGGATGAGAGAGTCCCAGCATCGGCTATGTTAGAACCTCCTGGGGAGCTTTGTAAAACTCTCAGACACGGTGTAGACCAATCCAATTAGAATCTCCAGGTGTGAGATGCAGGCAACATTTTTTAAGCTTCCTAATGGATTCTGATCTTCGGGTAATGTTGAGAACCAATGCTTTAGGTAATCATTGACGTTTATTCTCAATACAACTTAGCTTTTTAAGATTTCAGGTGGAAAGGATATAGAGGGGTCAAGGATCTCCCAGGTTTGGAGATGAAGGACCAAGTTTAGGTAGGAGTAACACAAAAGAAGATAGGAACATAGAGGGAAGAGAAAGGAGGGAAGATAAAAGGGGACCTAAAGGAACGAGAATGGAAAGGCAAGGGATGTATGGGGAGGGGAATGCTGCTACTCAGGGCCACAGGGTACCAGCTCCCCAGTGGTGGGGCACCCCTCCCCATGCACATCTCCTGCAACCCAGACCACATGGGATGGTATAGATCCCATCAGATGCTGGAGTGGAAAACTCCAGACTGCCTCTTCTCTTGTGACTGGGTATGTTCCCCGGGCCAACCCTGATTCCCCTTTTGCTGCCATTTAAACATTTTCTAGTTTTTCCCTCACTCAGAATAGGTGAGGGGGTGAACCTTTGCATAACAATACACGATTTATACACTGTAGGAAGTGATCATTCACGAGAGGGCATGTGGGCTATCGAACTGTAGAGCCTTCTCTATAGCACCACTGAGAAGGCCCCAAACCTTCTCTTACAATTCCAGTAACCATGGCAGTCACCCCTCTTGAAAATCAAGCTATGAGGGAGTTCTTTGTGTAGGGTCAGATTTTGTTTCCCTGGACTTTCACACTGTGGATGTGGTTTATTTGATTGGAGTCATGGAGAATGAGCAGTCAATCATGGGAAGCTGAGATTTTCTCTTCTCTCATTTCCCTTCCTCATCATAGGCTTACTCTCCTGCCGCACGGGTTGAGGTTTGTCCCTCCAGACCCCTTCCCATCCCCCACCTGACCACTCTCCTCTAAATGCATTTTAGTCTGCTTTCTTTAGATGTGGTCCCACTAGTCCAGAAAGAGTCTGAACAGCTCAAAGAGGTGCTCACTTGGCAGTTGAAAAACCCATACCACAGAGTGTTAAGGTGATCAGGGTTTAGGAATAGTTCATTTGCCGGAAAGGCCAATACTGTTGTTATCTTGTCAAATGTCTAAATGCGTTAATAAACATGAAGGCTTTACCTCTGAGATTCTGGAGATCCATTTTGCAGAAGTCACTCGACCCTTTAAAGCTTCTCTTATCTGGAGAGAGGACAAAAGTGGTTAAGAAGTTTAAAGATTATGAGAAGTCATCACACGTGCTCGGGCCAGGCAAATACTCTGGTGAGGGAGTGTTACCAGCTGGGGCCTGTCGGTGGGAAATGCAGGGATCAGGAACTTGGAGGAGTGGTTCCGGAAAAGGTGGGGACAGGGGGAGGCCCAAGGAAGATTAGGCCGGCACAGGAAATTCACACTCAGGGGCCTTAAACCTGAACCCAGTGACTAAGAAATACATTTTGCCACGGGTTGGAGCAATCTCTGACTTAGCATTGGGAGTGGTTTTTTGGAGCCCTTGAATGGTGAACATTTCCCATAGCTGTCAGTTATTTAAACCCTCCTTTCTAGAGGCCAAGCCATAGCTAAAAAAAAAAAAAAAAAAAAAAAGAATCCTATGCAACATAGCAAATCTCATGGAATGGAGAAAAAGAATAATAAATAACATAAATAACAATTCTATTTTGTTTTTTAAATATATTAAATAGATCTAACATACATATAAATATGAAATGTAAATCTATTTAATATATATTAAGTAATATATAATATATGATATGTTTATTAATACTAATATATACAATATAAATTAATATATTAACATAGCATATTTCTATATAAATAACATATCAATATGTTAAATTATATGTTATTGTATATTTATATTTTGTTTTTAGAAAGCACTTTAAAGTCCTTTTCATGTCTGCTATCTCATTTTATCCAAAAAACAGTCCTGTAAAATAGATAGTATTATTTCCATTTTTACAACCAAGGACATTAAGTTTGGAAGATGAAGGAACACCAAAGTCAGTTGACCTGCTGAGAAGAGTCAAGACTTGAGTTCTTATCTCCTGACTCCAGACCCACCTGTCATTTTCCCTAAATCTCTCTTGCTGAATGCAGGCACTGTATCCTTATTTCTACTCCATCTTTTCTTCTACTTTATCAAATCTTCCAAGACCTTATAGTTCTGACTTGACAGTTAATGGATGCCAAAGTCCTCCAGCTCAGAGTGGCTTCACCCTTCTCAGAAAATGTGGTTGTCTTTGTCACACACAGGCTCCAAAGAGGAAGGAGCACCCCCTGAGGCTTGGGGGCTGTGCACTCAAGGGTCCTTGGGGATATGAGAAGGCATACTGGAGCTTCTCTTTACATTTCTTTCTTTTTATGTTTCATAGTGTGCAAAATACATACTTTGTAAATTAATAATAAGCACATCTGGGGACATGTGCCCACTACTTTTTACTGATGTAAAAATTTGACTACTGGCATATACAACTTTATATCAATTAATCAGGTGTGGTCCTGTGACATCGTTGAGTCTTTACCATTATAATTTTTTTGGTTTTTTTTAATTTTTTATTTATTTATTTTTTTACAAATAGTTTATTGTCAAATTAGTTTCCACATAACACTCAGTGCTCATCCCCACAAGTGCCCTCCTCCATGCCCATCCCTTCTCCCCCCCAAATCCATCAGTCTTCAGTTTTTGTCAGCATTCAAGAGTCTCTCGTGGTTTGCCTCTCTCCCTTTCCCCCACCATTTCCCCCCTCCTTCTCCCCCTTGTTCCTCCGTCAAGTTCCTTCTAATCCTCCTATACGTGCAAACATGTGATATTTGTCCTTCTCTGCCTGACTTATTTCGCTCAGCATAACACCCTCAAGGTCCATCCATGTTGCTACACGTGGCCAGATTTCATTGTTTCTCATTGCCATGTAGTATTCCATTACCATTATAATTTTAAATATAAGAGATTTTGATCTTGATAGAAAGTTCTAGGTCTCAGAGTTCTTTGCACATCTCATAACACCTGGTAATCAGTAAGGAAAAATGTTGCTGCTGCTGTTTTGACAATAAATACTAGTTGTGGTAATTATAGTTAATAAAAAAAAAAAAAAGCACAATCTTGGGGCACCTAGAAACTCGGTTAACCCACTGAGCCGTGAGATCAGGTCATGATCTCGCAGTCCGTGAATGAGAGCCCCACATCAGACTCTGTGCTGACAGTTCAGAGCCTGGAGCCTGCTTCAGATTCTGTGTCTCCCTCTCTTTCTGCCCCTCCCCCACTCATGCTCTGTCTCTCTCAAAAATAAATATTAAACAAGTTTTTAAAAAACACAATCATATGGTATGCAACTGTATACCACCTTAAATGCTTTCTGTGTTTTTTCACTTGCAAAATCACATTTGTACCTCATCTAGCAGAAGAGGCAGGAAAAGCATCATTATCTCTGCATTCCATTTAGGGGATCTGGGTTCCGGAGAGTGCAGGCCTCCCCAATGGCTCAAAGATAGTACATAGAGATAGAAAGACAGAAACACTAATGCCCTGCCCCCTCTAAATAATTTTTGTTGGGTTGATGTGGTATCCTCATCACAAAATGAAAGGACCAGTGTGAAATGCCTCTTTCACAAACCCCAGAAGTAGCAGCAATTCTAGCTTACCAGCTGCTACCCGACCTTGGCCTGGTTAGCTGTGCTATTTGTGTCCAGGAAAATGAGGAGGAACATTGGTGTCTAGTTCTGAGCTATGGATGGGAACTGTGCCTCGCATGTAGCCTCCAAGCCTGTAAGCCAGAGAGACTTTCCCAAAGATGATAGTGTAAGACTTCATAAGTCTTCTTTCTGCTTCAGCTTGTTTGAGTGGGTTTCTGTAGAGATCATGGGCAAGTTTAATCACTCTGAGTCTCAGTTTCCTCATCCATAAAATGGAATATAAAAATACCCAAGATTGTTTTAAGGTATGTAAAATGCTTAGCTCTGTAAGAGTTTGCAAGATAGGTATTACTTCCATCATGAAGAAGAATGATGCCCTGTTCAAGCGTCTGCACAAGTGATTGAAGCCAAAGATGCTCTGTAAGGGGTCTTTCCAAATGAGGATTTCAGGGCCAAGTACTGTTAATACATGAAGAAGAGGAGGAAGAGAAAGAGGAAGAAAAAGAGAAAGAGGAGAAGAAGAAGAGGAAGAAGGGGGAAGGAAGAGGGGGAAGGAGGAGGGGGAAGGGGGAGGGGGGAGGAGGAGGGGGGAGGAGGAGGGGGGAGGGAGAGGGGGAGGGGGAGGGGGAGGGGGGAGGAGGAGAAGGGGGAAGAAGAAGAGAAAGGAAGAGGAGGAGAAGAATTTACAATACCTTTGGATCCAGGATTGTTCCAAACACCAAGATGAAGAAGCCCTGAGAAAGAAGAGGAATGAAAAGCTATTTACAAAATGATGATGATGATGATGATAATAATAAATACTAGTGTTCATCAGTCCTTTTCTAGTTTAAAAAACTAAAATAAAAACAATTTATTAAATCTTTGACTCTGTTAGGGTCATAACAGCTAGGTTCATACATATTCATTGAGCATCTTCCATGTGCCAGCCACTGTTCTAGACACTTGAGATACATCACCAACTCCAACAGGCCAAGGTCCTTGATTCATACAAGAAGATTACAGAAATTTCTTTTTAAGTAGGGTAAACTAAAAGCATTTTGAATTTATCAGGAGCTCACCAGAATGTATATCTCACCAGAACACAATAGTCTGACCAAGATTCAGAGGAGATGTTAGGCCATGGACAAACTATAATGAAGGAAACTTCCACAGAAGAAAAGCAAGAGCAGCTGGGCTCAGTTTCTGTTAACACTCTCAACTTCCTTCCCCCACCCACAACCAAAGACAATTACAAAACATGCAAAGAAAAATCAAGTACACGGGTGCCTGGTTGGCTCAGTCAGTTAAGTATCCCATTCTTGACTTTGGCTCAGGTCATGACCTCCCAGCTTGTGAGTTCAAACCCTGCATCAGGCTCTGTGCTGACAATGCAAAGCCTGCATGGATTCTTTCTCTCCCACTCTCTCTACCCCTCCCCTGCTCACTCTCTCTCTCTCAAATAAATTAACTAAAGAAGATGTTTAAGGAAAAGTCAAGTACATGGTCACTCAGAAAACTAAGACACAGAACAGCCACAAAATACATAACATGTGTTCAGAAACAAATGCTCCAAATATGACGACATAGAGGGACTTACAGCCCTCATATCGCCTGCCATCCATTCAAAAAGAGACCCCATTAAAGTCAAAAAGAGTCTGTTTCTCTATAGTTACAGTCCATTTTAATTGGCTGAAAACCACCCTAGAATAAGGAAGGGAAGGTATTCATCCCATTTTCCAGACAAGTAGAAGGAAACTTAGAGATTCAACCTTCAACATGTCATAGATAGCAACATTCATTAGACAGTTTCTCCTGAAGGCGTGGTTACTCAGGTCCTGGCCCACCTGAGAGGAGAAGTGAGATAATGACCTCTGATGAGCAAGTCATCCCTCTGTTAAGCTGCCTCGATCTCATAATCGAAAGCATCATTTGTATCAAGGTGCTTGGAAAAAAATATAGCCAGGTCTGGTTTTGGTACTAGGAATACATTTTAGATCAGAATCTCTGAGAATTTTGCCCGGGAATTAAAATTTTTAAATATCTAGGAACTGTCAGTTTAGCCCATTTCTTACAAAAAAATGCACTCCTTTGGCTAAAGAACTAAGAGGATTTCTCTCCTTGTGAGATTTTCAATTTCTTGAGGCTAAACTAATTATATCCATATCTGCAACATTTAGCATAATGCTTGACACACAATAAGTACTCAATAAATGTGTCTCTATTTGTGTGTGTGTGCCTGTATCTACATCTGTGTGTGTGTTTAACTGCTTTATTATGCAACCTGCATTTGTACACTTATAAATATGTAACAGGGACATATTTTGGTAGGATCACCTTTCATTGGTCCGAACTTGGGAAGAGTTACACAAAATATCATTCAGAAAATTTGGATAGATTATTAGTAAAGGTTTAGTATCTGATTAATAAAAATTCACTGGCAGTAGCTTCTTTGCATTTCTCTTAGTAGATAAAGCTTAATTGGAGCAGATAAATGTTAAGGTGTTCTCCCAGCTTTTAAAATACATGCTTTAGTGCTATGGAAGGAATGTTCATATCCTCTCCGTTTATATGTTAAATCCTATCATATAAATTTATATGTTAAATTCTAGGTGAAGGTATTTGGAGGCATGCATTTGGAAGGTAATTAGGTCACAAGGGTGGGCCCTCAGGAAATGGATTAGTGTGCTTACAAAAGAGACCCCAGAAAGCTCCCTTGCCCCTGTCTCTATGTGATGTTCTAGCAAGAAGATGGCTATCCATCTGTGAGGCAAGAAAGCAAGCTCTCTCCATGTGTATGTGTATGTGCCTTGGACTTCCCAGCCTCCGGAACCGTGAGAAATAAATTTCTGCTCTTTATAAGCCACCCAATATATGGTATTTTTGTTACAGCAGCCCAAGTCGACTGAGACATTTATTTTCTCCCACCAAAACAGCTATGAGGGGTCCCCACACCTTACCCATCCTACAGTTACGGCTATGGAAGGAATATGGAAGGAACTGTATTTACAGTTGTATTCAGTAAATATAAGAGAGGATACCAACCAGAAGTTGTAGATTACAAGTGAGTAGTCAAGTCAGCAATTGGCTACATAATAATTATCCCCTGGTAAAGGGGGAGATTGAGCTTTAAAACCAATTGAGGTGCTCACATGGGGCTAAGACCAGTAAAGCCTCAAAAGGGTCTTTCTCTTACATCTTCTGGACCTCCCAGTGTGGTTAGGGGTCTCTCTCCTCTCACTTCTCCAACAGCCCCAGCTGCCTCTCATCTCGGTTCATCCTAAGATTCTGTTTGTCCTGCTTCCTTCTGCTCACTGGATTGTGTCTCCCTCCACAACAGAACTGTGCCTCTCCTTTCTCTCCTCCAACATTGGGCATCCTAAGGATGCCCCGGTCCACACGTCTGGTAAATAGCAATAACCAGCTCTCCTAATTTGAAGTACTTACCAGTCTCCATTGAAATACTCCCATCCTGGCTGATTTAAATCTAGCAAGGTGACATCACTGAACTGAACGTAGAGTTAGAAAGAGATGGGCACATCATTATCCAGTGTTTCCACCGTACAGATACAATAGATGCAAATAGCCTCACAAGCATACTAAAGTGTAGACAAAGATTTAGGAAGTAACGCGTTTGGAGGATCTACGGCCTTAAACAAAAACTGTTGTTTTGTTTAATTACAAGTTTATATATTTAATTTTTAATGATGTCCCCTTGAAAAATTCCTAAAAATAGAAGTCTTCTCTCTGGGCCAGTACAAACCAGCTCCAGCACACCAGTTCCTCATGCCTACCAGTGCCCAGTGTCTACCCTTCACCCACACCCTGCTCTCAGCTTCTCACCTCCATCAGTACCGGCATTTAGATGAGCTCCATCCCCCTTGCCAGGAATCAAGGCAGAAACTGAGTTGAAATTACAAGTTGATCCTATCATGACAGGCAAAGGAACTCATGGCACCAAAATACAAGTGCTCAGAGACTAGTCCAAACAAAAACCACAGTAAAGGTCCCCCCACCCTCACCCCGACCGGGTGACAAGGAAAGGGAAATGTTGAGAAGTAGATACATCAGCTCCTTAAGGGTTCCTGACAAATAGCCATGGGATATGCTGAACAGAAATTTAAGAACACTACGTTGTTCTCCCAGCCCTACCCATGACTAGCCACATGCACGTGGGTAAGAGCTATACAAAAAATGTGATACTATTCATATTTTCTATAGAAATGCATAAAAACAGAAATCCCAAAGACAAGGCACCATTACTATTATTAGCCTTGTTCTCCAAGGCATCAAAATATTTATTATAAAATGAAATCGTTGGGGTGCCTGGGTGGCTCAGTTGGTTAAGCATCCAACAGTGGCTTAGCTCATCATCTTACAGGTCGTGGGTTTGGGCCCTGCTTTGGGTTCTGTGCTGACAGCTCAGAGCCTAGAGCCTGCTTCAGATTCTGTGTCTCACTCTCTCTCTGCCCTCCCCTGCTCACACACTCTCTTTCTCTTTCTCTCTTTCTCTCTCTTTCTTTCTCTTAAAAGTAAGTAACATTAAAATTTTTTTAATGAAATCATTTATACATAAGTCTTAAAAGAGAAAAAGGAGAAAATATTTGATGAAAATCTCTATTATCCATTAGGTAAAACACCTATTTCCAAATAAGCATGCACTCAGAAGAAAGGGTTATTTTAAAAGTCTTTAGAAAGACAAAAGCTTTCTTATCAATTAGGTCCTATCTACACTTGTAACATTCAGTATAATAAATTTGGCTCATTAGTACACTGTGACAGAAAAAAATGAAAAATAAAACAAATTACAGTCAAGTGGGGAATTATTGAATATGGGATACTATACTGTCATATTTCTATATGGCAACCTGACAAGATGCCACGATGTATTTTTAAGTGAAAAAGTAAGGTGCATAATAATGTATATTTTAACCTCTCTATTAGGTGAAAATACATTTGTATACAAACATAAAAAGTTTGGCAAGGATACCCATGAAACTGTGAACACTGATTAATTCATAGAGACAAGAGAGGAGAAGAGAAACTATTTTTAATATCACTGTGTAGGAGTTGTCTCATTAAAAAAAGATGCCTTCCAATGGGAACCACAAATTCTAAATGGAAAGAAATGCACTCAATATGCACACTTTAATACCTCCCATTAGGTGCCTAGATTTGGGGGAAGTTGTGGTATTTAGTTTGTAAACAGTAGGGAGTTCAGCCAGCTGTTGCACTATTCATGATCTTTAGGTCATTTTAGTACCTGATGCTTTCCCATCCACTGCTTTATTTCAGTATTTCAGATGGGCAGTATTATACCCATTTTATAAGTGAGAAAAATATGGCTCAGAAAAGTTAATCAAATATCTCAGAAGAATGGTATACATTAGTAAATGAGAGAGTCAAGATTTGAATCCAGGCCTTTCTGGGGGAAAAAAGAGTTTATTTCCTCACTTAATATCCTACTCCAAATCTATTGTCTTTTATAAAGAAATATGACTCTAAGGGTGTCTGAGTGGCTCAGTCAGTTGAGTATCTGACTCTTGGTTTTGCTCAGATCATGATCTCACGGTTCATGAGTTTGAGTCCCACATCAAGTGTTGCACTGAGTGCAGAGCCTTTTGGGATTTTCTCTTTCTTTCTCTCCCTCTCTCTGCCTCTCCCCTGCTCATGCTCTCTCTCTCTCTCTCAAAATAAATAAATAATTTTTTAAAACGAAAGAAAGAAATATGACTTCAAAAGCTCCTGATCACAAAACTTCTTCTGAATTGTCTTCCTTAGTACTTGGTCAGTAGTATCTAGACTTACCTGGAATGCATTGAGCACGGAGAAGATAGTGTGCAAGGCCAGGTTGCTGTCATCAATGACTGTGGCTAGTCCGATCCCCCAGGTCAGTCCCAGCAATGGCGTGAGGATGGCAATATTCTTACTGATTCTCACAATGGCTCTCACCTCCTGGAACATGGAACTGCCAATGGCGGGTCGCTGGGTCTTGACAATCACCAGTGTGACTGTGACCAGGTTGACCACCACAATGGCCAGAGCTGGGACCACAAAGGCCAGGAGGGCCTTGGTCATGTCCCAGTTGAGCCAGCAGGCCTCGGGCCTCAGGTAGCCCTTGCCGGGCTCAGTGGCAGCAACTGTGATAGCAGCAATGACCAAGGGGCACCCATAGCCGACTGAAAAAAGAGCTGCCACCAAGACTGACTTGGGCAGTGTATGGAAGACAATCAGGATTCCGTAGAGGATAAGAAGTGCCTTGGCAAGCATCCAGAAAAATACAGAAAGGTAAAAGAAATGAACAAAAAATGTTGCTGCCACACATCCCTTGTGGTGTGTCACTGGACCGCTAAGAAAGGAAGCCACAATGAACCACACATCCGCCATCAGCAAGGTGGCTGCAACATTAGCAATGCATATATGGCGTAAGTACGAGATCTCTGTCTTTGTCACGTGGCTCCAGACCAAGGCCTCAATGGACAAGCAAAGGAGCAAGCTGCAAATGGAAATGCCCAGGCCTATGTATGTGATATAAGTCAGGATCGGGCTCTCCAAGATGTGGGGTGACATAAGGATGGAAAAAGAGGTAAACAACTTGCTTGGCCTACATTTGCAAACAGCTTGCTGGGAGTTTTCTTGAATTATTTGACAGGCATGCTGGTCCCATCTGCTCTCCAAGGAGTGCCAGCCAACACACTGTGTCCTCTTCTCCTCTGACTTGTTGATCTTCTCAAAAATCAGTGAGATTCTTTTAAGTTCCTTGGGCAAAATGACAGACAAAACAAGTCCATTCACAGTGACATTTTCCAAAAGACTGGCTTCTAAGATGGCCCCGAGGGTTGGAAATGCAATGCTGATGGCCTGAGAAGGAGTAGGCACCTTCCGAAGTTCATCTCTACCAATCAACACCTGTCCAGTGATCTCACTGCTGGTGTCATTAACTCTCATAGAAAAAGTGAAATTCTTCCCATCGTTGTCTGGGGAGATGGCAGTGCCCATTGTATGAATGAAGACATCAGATATGTCAATCGGATACTTCTTTATAAATAGCTTTCTTGCAAAAGAATTGACCGAGTGTAGTAGGACACAGCTGGTATTTCTGTCAGGGATGAAGGTCCAGTTTGAGATGCTTTTGCTGTTAAGAATGTGGTTGGCCATGATGCTATAACTCTGCCAAGGAAGAACCAGCGTTAGTACTAAGCTTCTCTGTGAATCTGCCGGACAGTCACGATCCACTTCTATCAAGTGTTGTCCTCCACCCAGCAGCATAGACATCCCCTAGGAATTTCTTAGAAATATGGGATCTCAGGGCCCAGTCTAGACCTAATCAGTCAGAATCAGCATTGTAATGAGATTCCTGGGGTACACCACCCGAATTTGAGTTGAGGGATAGAGCAAGGAGGGAATTGCCCTCATGTCACACATGCAATGTCTCCCTGTGAGGCAGCCAGGCAGGTAGGCTTCTCCAGGCTCATGGACATCATCGGTCCCACTTCACACCGTGGTGAAGCCAGCAATGTGCTTACCCTGCTCAGAGAACCCATAATGCAATTAACATCTATTAAATCCAAGCTGTGTGCAGGACGCTGTGCAGGAACACAGCGAATTGACAAGTAACTCCAGAAGCTGAACCTACTTTTTGTCCTCAGCCTCAAAGATCAAAACTAAGGGGTGCTTGGGTGGCTGAGTCAGTTAAGCATCTGACTCTGGATTTTGATTCAGGTCATGATCTCATAGTTCATGAGATTCAGCCCCATGTCAGGCTCTATGCTGACAGCACGGAGCCTGCTTGGAATTCTAACTCTCCTTCTCCCTGCCCTTTCCCCACTCACACACACTCTCAATAAATGATAGATGATAGATAGATAGATAATAGATAGATAAAACTTTTTTTAAAAAACCCATTATTTAAAAGAAAAGAAATGAAATGAGTCCAATCCCATTCACACTTCCGCAACACATATGCATGGCTCTTTTCTTTGCATTCAGTCATTTTCCATTTTAGTGATTTGATGTTCTGACTCACAAATAAAAGTAAAAGTCTCTCTGCAGGAACCAGAATGGTTCTTAGAAGTTTCCAATAGCCAAAATACACACTGGAAAAGCTTACTCTGACCCAGTACCCAGTAAGTGCTGCCTCTAAATGCCTACTGACGGAAAATGTTCACTTTTCCATTTCCTTTGTTCATTGTTCAGTGAATATTTATTGAGCATTTATTGAACGCTTATTGTTATGCTAGGCATTACAGATACTGACGTGAAAGAGATGGTCCTTGGATCCCAAAAAGCCCACTGAATACACCAATTAACCTGCATTCCTTTCCACCGAGGTATCATTCTACCAAATCAAAGCCACTCACCTGCATCTTTGCCACGTCGACACCTGTCAATGGCACCATGGATATGTTGTGTAAGAGCTGCACGATGACAGCAATGTTTCCCGGGATCCGGGGGGACTGCCGAATGTTCCTGATTACACAGGACAAATCCTTTGGACACTTTTCCATCAGCATGTCTGTGATGGTCTCAGACTTTCTGGCAAACTCATTTACTTCTGCATTTCCTCCTAACGTTTGGATCGAATATAAATTTGTCTAAGAAATGGCAAAAAGAAAGTTTTGACTATGTTACTTTTGTTTTGAATATAAAAGTACCTTTATGAAAATTGAGGACAGCCTTATCACACAATTGTATATTACACGGTGCTTTTCAATTTTACATCTTCAAAGTCACATTTGCTATGGAATAATTTGCCCAATACCAAGGAACATGAACAGAAAAGCGAAGTCCCAGCTTCCCAGCTGTCTGCTCCTTAATCCCCTCCTTCCAGAAAGTAAATGTTATCTTTCGCATGCCTTCAGACCCTTCTGTGTTTATACATTGTATATATGGCCTATGCACATAGATACATTTCTAGTGCCATTTAAGCTTATTTTTAATATTCCTGAGGGGCAAAGCATGAGACACGAACATATTTTAAAAATAAAAATTCTGAACTAGATTTGGATGATTCAACTGACACCGAGACCAAAGAATGGCTAAAAACAATGACAAACAGTACCTCCTACAGACTCGGGCTCTGGGGCCCACACTTCAGTGCAGGAGTGACAAACATGGCCCCCGACTGGCTGCCTTTTTTTTTTTTTTTTTTGTAAAAAAAGTTTTATTGGGACCCAACCTGCTCATTCGTTTAAGTATTGTCTATGGCTGCTTTCATGCTACAATGTCAGGGTTGAGTACTCGCAACAGAGGCCCCTTGACCCACAAGGACTAAAATATTAACTATCTGGCCCTTGACAGAAAAAAAAAAATTGCCAGTCCTCAGTCTGGAGGACCCCTTTCTGGCCTCTCTAGTCCGCCCTTCACAGGACAAAAAGTCTGCATGGGCCTAGAGGATATGCCTACTCAGAACTCATATGCCTGTACCTAGACACTCAAATCCCCTCCTCACCAGCCTCAAGTCCACTTCCAGGGCCTTGATGGGCCTTTTCCCCTAAGTCTATGCTACCAAGGATGGACCATGCCACCGTGGTGCCCACCACTAGGCCCTGTTTTCAGGGCTATGAACATGTGGCCTTGGCTTTCCACCACACTACAGGTGCAGGATGGAATCTGCGATGGGAGGCCAGCAGAATATCTTTTACTTAGCTGTCTGTAAGTTTGGTTATAGTGTCTAGATATTAAAACGTATGGTTTGCGGCTCTCTGTGTGTATCTTTGCATAGGTCCCTCAAATTAATGGTGGGCCTGATGATAGACACCCTGGAGAGGGCGGCCTTTTGAAGTCTGATCAGGGACTTCAGATGAAGCACCCAATGGCACTACCCCCGGCCACATTCAAAACCACTGAATGGGGATGCTTCTAGGACTGAAGAGATGCTAAAACATTGACTCCTCGGAAGGATTCAGGAGCTGAACTTCAGAAAAAGTAAAGCCTCTACTAGAAGAAGAGTAAAAAGGGGGTCACTGGGTGGCTCAGTTGGTTAAGCATCCAACTTCTGCTCAAGTCTGATCTCACCATTCATGAGTTTGAGCCCCACATTGGGCTATGTGCTTACAGCTCAGAGCCTGGAGCCTGCTTCAGATTCTGTGTCTCCCTCTCTATCTGCCCCTCCTCCACTCGCACTCTGTCTCTCTCTCTCTCAAAAATAAATAAACATTTAAACCAAATTAAAAAAAAAAGTAGAGGAGCAAATGAAACAAAAAGAGAAAAAAAGTATTTGTCCTGGTTTTATCAAAATTTGATTTTTAAAAATGTATAATTACTTAAGTGTATATGGAAATGTGATCATTTGTTTGATGATGAAGTCCTTCCTTTAGGTCAGCTTGCTTCTCATGCTTTACTGAGCACAGAAATCACCTGAGGATCTTGATAACATGAAAATTCAGATTCAACAGGTCTGAGATGGGGTCTGAATTCTGCATATCTAAACGGTCTCAAGGTTGCCCGTCTAGCTGCTGGTCAGCGAAGGCTACATTGAGTGTCACAGCTCCACATTAGAAAGCTAAAAGCTGGGGCGCCTGGGTGGCTCAGTCAGTTAAGCGTCCAACTTTGCCTCAGGTCATGACCTCACAGTTTGTGAATTCAAGTCCCGCATCGGGCTCTGCACTATCAGTGCAGAGCCTGCTTGGGATTCTCTCTCCCTCTCTCTCTGCCCCTTCCCCATGTGCACTCTCTCTATCTCAAAATAAATAAATAAATACATATATACATAAATAAATAAATAAAAATATTTTAAAAAGCTAAGAACAAAGATGGAGAAGTAAGCCATGATCCTTCTAGAAAGCTCTTCTGGCTCTGATCTGAGGATCAGTTTTCTTTGTGTCATGAAGCATGTGGGAGATCAGAGCACAAACATTTAGATGTCCACAGTGAGAATATCCCTTTTTGTGCAGAGAGAGAGAAGATGAGCATGTGTTTATGGATTCGCGTACAAACGCACTTGCCTACCAACCCTGCCTTGTGCTCACCCTCTCTCTTACTGACCGTGCAATGCATTGCTAATTTGGATCTCCACTCTGTGTTTGAGAGAAAGGATATTACCTCAAAGATGTTGAAGGCATTAAGAGTCTGACAGGTTTCAGTGATCTTGCGCCATTTCTTTTGCCTGCAGGAAAACCCCACGTTTCCCTGAGTGTCTGGAGGGCAAGGTTGACTGCAGTGGGTGTTGTCCACACACGCGCCATCACATACACCTGGGGAAACAAAAGGTATGAGTATCAGATGGAGAGGTTGGGGCTCTGGGCTGCATGGGTCAATCACCAAGATGTGAACACAGTGAGGACACATAAACCCTGCGGACATCAGGTGTGCTTTCTTTGCAAAGTGGAGGAAGATTGAAATAGATCAGTGATTGTCATATCATTTCAGTGATGAACACCTATTGCTTCCAACAAAACCTTATCCAGAACTCAAACATATAAAACAGATCAACGTGGAACTATCCCAGTTGAAGCGAGAAACTGGAGCCTGTGTTCAGTCTGCTAGGTCTGTCATGCCCCACAGAAACCCCCTGGACACCTTCTAGAACCCCTCCAGCTTCCCAGAACATAGTATAGAAGATGGGAGAAGGCTCCCAACTCCAGAACTTCATAATGAGTTTTGTTATCAATGAGTTCTCACAGACCTGTTAATAGCCGTTGTTCTGGTCTGAGTTGGCTCAATTGGAAGAGTTTATGGCAAAGAACTCTCAGGCCAGGAGGGAGAGAGGGTGCTTGAAGGAGAAGGGAGCAGGGGTCAAAGGTACAATATAATAGGGGAAAAATAAACAGTCCAAATGCAAGCCAACAAGGTCTCGCGTCTGCCATGCCATGAAGAGAGGGCTGAGCATGGCTCTCTAGTACAATAATAAAAACATAAAAACTTCCATTTGATGACTAAGCGCTGTCAACATACCGTACGGCCTGGCAGACATCTTCTCCTTGCTTTTGTCAGCAACCTAGAAAGGGAAAATCAAAATTCACATGAAAATTAAGTGTTGATATGCCACCCCAAGGATTCATGTTAGTCACAGCTAACAGCCACATCGGGCTCAGCTCTGATGCCAAGATGTCTCCAAACGTTGACATCACAACTCATGGCCCAATTTTCTCATCAGCCTGGATGGCTTTCTGTCCCACTGTTACTCAGCAGGAGCTCCCTGGCAAGAAGGATCAACATTCTATCCAGGAAATACACCAGGAGCAAAGGTGAACTCAGTGGAGACTAATGAAGGTTAGGCTGTGGAATCCCTTGTGTGTAAGGGCCCCCTCCATGCACTGAGAGAGGGTCTAGCAATGTGGTCACATGGTCATATATTTTCTTAAACTTTCAAAAGCAAAATAGCTTCACCACCATCTGTTCAGACCACTATTTTTTGCCACCCCACCTTTCCTCCCTTCACACTCTCCCTCATTTTGGATAGCCCTAGAGAGGCTGTAGCTATTTACAGAACCTGGAGAAGTAGAAGTTGAATTGGGGATACATCTAGTTTGAATTTAATAGCATGTATTTATGTAATCTGCAGTAATTAGCACATTACAAGGAGAACATCAAACCATAAGTGGTATTTACTCTAAGAGTATTTACAACTAGTTATAGAACAAGAAAATTCTAAGTATTCTGGACACTTTTCAGGTCATATGTGAAAGAAACTCATTAGATATTTTCCTAGGCTTGACAAAAGTCTTACATTTTTACATGGCGTTACTAATAATGAAATGAGAAGCTAAAAGATATTCTTATAAGCAAGCAGTAATAAAAACAAATTGAATCAGCAATGCTAGAGTGAAAACTGCATATTTTTTCTATTTTCTCTATAAAAAATATTATAAAATTATTGGCATGCAAGTATGCAGCCAAAAATGTAGAGACAAAAATGCAGGCAGTTCATTAATTAAAACTTTGTTATTTTATTCTTTCTCATTGCCAAGTAGTATTCCGTTTATATATAAACTGCATCTTTTTTTTTATGTTTTATTTATTTCTGAGATTGAGAGAGAGAGAGAGAAAGAGAGCATGAGCAGGGGAGGGTCAGAGAGAGAGGGAGACTCCAGGCTCTGAGCCGGCTGTCAGCACAGAGCCAGACGCGGGGCTCAAACCCACGAACCATGAGATCATGACTTGAGCCAAAATCAAAAGTCAGATGTTTAACCGACTGAGTCACCCAAGCACCCCTCTATTCTTTTTCTTTAACAAAACTCTCTTCAAATATTGTTTCTCCTTATCACGAGCATTTCCCAGCTCTCCTGATTAAAAACCCCTCTCTATCCCACCCATTCATATGTGATATGTGATTATGTGCCTCCCACTAAATGCCATTAAGTATCTCCCAGTCATTGTGACATCCCTCACCACCCCCACATTTTCAAGTGGGCCTCTACGGAAGTAGCGCTGCCCAGTTATGAGCAATGAAAGTCTTCACCATCAAATGATATGAAAAAAATAAGAGTTTATCACCCTTAAATCATTTGAGCCTCATTGTATCTCGAGGGGAAAGTAGTTTGCACATCAAAAGGAAAAAAGTTCGAGACTATTAGCTGAAACAGGTTTTGGTTACCTATAGCTATAATTTCTTCCGGCTGGACCACTAGCTCCTCCCTACACTTGAGTCCAGATAACTACAAGCCACCTGAAAGATGGGTCTTCATTTCCGTTTGCTCTCTCACCACCAGTTCCATCTCCCTCCGCCCTTTGCTTACCTGGGATAACGTCCTGCAAGACTCTGTGCGCCAAAGCAACACTAAGCAGTATAGCAAAAGCATGGGAGTCGTCATCTTGCACACCGCTGCCTTTATTGTTTCTATAAAAATAAATGAAAAAGCACAGTGTCTCCAATCTGAAGCTTTCGAAGTCTCTCGCTGCCATCAGCCTAAAAGTCTGGGTTCTGTCCTTGGTGCTGTCAGCTCGGACTCCTCTGTCCCCAAGGTGGTGCCCCTGTGGCCTCCCATGGACCTCACGAGAAGGCTGCAGGTGTGAACGGCTGGAGCCAGGAAGCACATGACACCCAATGTAGGAATCCTTCCAAGGGAAGCTGCCTGTTGGGGTGTAATGAATAATAGCCCGCGTTCAGGGATCCAGAAGGATGGTTCACTCCCTGGGTTAGGCAGGCCTGAGAAACATGTGGGTGGCTGTGGTGAAAGCCAGGTTGGGGTGCCTCTGTGCAGACTCAGCCCAGAAATACCTTTTGAAGGAGAGTAAGCACCAGGCTTGGCCTATTATCTCACTCCCACCTGACTCTGGAGCCGGATTTTTGTCAGTAGGGAGCAAACTTCCAAACTGATCTTAGACAAGTCCTACTATTGTTATTTCTGCCAAAACCGATCTCAAAACTAAAATGATTCCTTGGCACCTAGCATAGCTCTAAAAACATGGTGATGCCCACAATAGACCCATTAAGGAGAGAGGAAAGAAGAGAGGGAGGTGAGGTAGGCAGGAAACGCTGTTGATTTACCTCAGATCTGTGCTCTATGGACGACTCGGATGAGTTGAACTTTTTAATAGTAAATTGTCATAATTTTAATATTATTTTCATGTTGGGTGAAATCCTCTTTGAAATGTATTTGATCTTTCTTTCATTTCAGACGGCAGGGTTCAGAAGACTTGGATGTCATCAAGAAAGGCCAGGAGCTTTTGCAAAGGTTGATATTTGCTGTTTGACCATTTCTGGCCAGAAAGGAATAACTTTTATCCTATTCGTGCGTAATTCCGCAGCAAACAGTGCCATTACCTTAAAGACTAGGCAAAATGTCTTTTTAACTTTATTTCCTGTGTTGAAATACTTACCTAACTGAAATTCCACTGAAATCCAAAGGTTATTTAAAATATTGTAAAATATTTACAGGAGCGCCTGGGTGGCTCAGTCAGTTAAGCGTCTGACTTTGGCTCAGGTCATGATCTCACGGTTCGTGGGTTTGAGCCCCATGTCTGGCTCTGTGCTGACAGCCAGCTCAGAGCCTGGAGGCTGCTTCAGATTCTGCATCTCCCTTTCTCTTTGACCCTCCCCAATCACGCTGTCTCTCTCTCTCTCTCATTCTCTCTCTCTCAGAAATAAATAAAACATTTAAAAAAATTTTTTTAATAAAAAATAAATAAAATATTTTACATTGCCTGTTTCAGCCTCTTTCAGTGGTTTTCTAATTGTGAAGCTAACGACCAACCTCTTTCTACTTATGTGCAGTCTCTTTATTTTACTAGAAATGGAATCATGGCCTCTTGAAAAGAAGAAAAGTCACCATTCTGCTTTTAGCTGTATTGATATATTGCATTTCTATATATATTTTTATTGTATTATAAAAAATTTTACATAATGGAGCAACTGGGTGGCTCAGTTGGCTAAGCGTCCAACTCTTGATTTTGGCTCAGGTCATGATCTCATGGTTCGTGAGGTTGAGCCCCAAGTCGGGCTCTGAGCTGACAGTGTGGACCCCACTTGGGATTCTCTGTCTCCCTCTCTCTCTACCTCTCTCCTGCTCGCTCTCTATTTCTCTCTCTCTCTCTCAAAAATAAATAAATAGTTTAAAAAATTCACATAATAAACAATGCTGTGATGTAAAAAAAGAAAAAAAGAAAAATAGGCTTTCAGCTGAAGGTCCCTAGTTCTTTAAGCACAAGAATTAAGCTGTTACTCATCACTTTTAAGTATATTTAGTTGCAACCCAGATGGACATACAATTTCAAGTAAATTTCAGTCATGTTGGCATCTTTTTTTCCAAGTCTTCCAAATGGATAAAAATTCAGTATGAAAATCATGAAAATGTCTTACCACAATTATCACCAATGCAGTGACTGCTTTGGGTAAAATCATAAAAATTTTTAAAAAATTAAAGCCACTGATGAATTTGTTAACATAATTTTCATAAAATCTGAACATGAGTCCATGTTTTTCTGATTTACATTAATTTAATTTAATTTAATTTGTTTAATGTTCATTTTAGTTTTGAGAGAGACAGAACACAAACGGAAGAGAGGCAGAGAGAGAGGGAGACACAGAAGCCAAAGCAGGTTCCAGGTTCCAAGATGTCAGCACAGAGCTGGGGCTCAGACTCATGAACGTGGGGCTCAAACTCACAACCCCACGTTGTGAGATCATGAGATCATGCTGGACGCTTAACTGACTGAGCCATCCACGTGCCCCTATTTTATTTTATTTTAAGTAGGCTCCACGCCTACTGTGTGGGTTGAACTCACAGCCCTAAGATCAAGAATCACATGCTTTACTGACTGAGCCAGTCAGGTGTCCCTCCATTAATTTTATGTTAAAATTCTCATCATACAGAATGTTTTCTCTTTAACTAAAACTACTTCTAAAAAATATTTCAAGAATGATACAAGACAACAAACTTGCGCTGTTTTGCCCAGACACTCAAATAGATTTTTTTAAAGGGATGGGAAGAAGTTGAATAACTAGATAAGGTCAACAAATCGATATGAAAACTACTCTTTGCTTAAAATTGTTAAGGTATTAGATTGAAAAAAAATCCTTATTTTATTGTCCTTTTGTTTTTAATTTTAAACATAGCTGTTTTAATGTTACCAATATGCATTTTGATTATTATTAACATTATCTTTATGTATGGCAAAATGAGCACTTTGTGTAATATGTGGTTAATGACCTTCATAGACTTTATAGTATGGACTTAAAAAAAAGTCAGGGGGGATGTTTATTTATTTTTGAGAGACAGAGAGAAAGACAGAGCACTAGTAGGAGATGGGCAAAGAGAGAGGGGGAGACACAGAATGGGAAGCAGGCGCCCGGCTCCAAACTGTCAGCACAGAGCCCGACATAGGGCTCGAACCCACGAACTGTGAGATCACAACCTGAGCCAGAGTCAGACATTTAACCAACTGAGCCACACAGGTGCCCCTGGACCTTTGTGACAGTTATGCTGCTATTAAATTTTGGAGCCCAGAATTTTCTAACAATTTCTTTGCTATCCGGGACTGGCTTGTCCTGGGGTGCCTGGGGACCACAAGACTGGAATGCTATCTGCACCCAAGTTTCAACAACAGTGGAACCTCTAAGTGAATTCTGAACTTTTCTTTAATTCTTTTACTTAAAAGAAACAGTTTCTAACGTTGGCTATTTTTGACATTTTGCTTATAAAACTGCTCTTTAAGTAAAGCGTACTGAAGTAAAATCAATTTTCTCCCAGACTTGCTGATGTCAAACCATAGTCATTAGCTCTTTTTCGAATCCTGTGAAAGCAAAAAGTCTGGAAGCAGACAAAAGCATAGGGGCAAAACAGCAGCAAGGAGCCAGTCTTTGGACCCCCCACCGCCTCCCACCTTCCTACAATTTCTTTCTGTAAAGCTTCTGGTCTCCTTCCCCCAGGGCAGCACCACACCTTTCTGAAATGCAAGGGTAGCAGGAATGTAACTCTTTCGCTCTCAGACAAATGTTTATAAATGTTGGTTTTGTGTAGCCCCAAGCCCAAAAATTTGCTACAGTCATTTCAGAAAAGGCTTATCTCTCGAGAACATAGAACCTGAAAAAGTCATCTCGTGCAATTCACACACACACACACACACACACACACACACACACACACACACAAGAAGCGGCAATTACATCAGTACTGACATTTCACAAGATAAAACATGCCAAATACAAAATGTTATTTTTTTATTGTTTAGTTAAGAAACCACTTCCCTTCTCCTTTATAAAGAGGGAGGAGAAGGAGGAGAACAGTAAAGGGCACTGGTGACTCGGCTAGATCTGCAAAGAGATAATACTTCCAAAATGTCCCAGCTAGAACGTGTTTTCCCATTCTCTGCTGTCTGCTGTCCAAATCTGAACAAGGTGCTTAAGATGTTTAGTGTCTGTGTTTATTCAACAAACAGAAAATGCACTCCTCGTTTCCAAGCAATGTCCTAACAGCTCAGAATTAAACAACCACAAAGATAACTTCTTTCCCTGTCACCTCACCACCTTGGGGAAGCCACAGGCTAATGAGGCTTCTGAAGCATCTCGAAGGGTTTGGGAACTTGAATGGGCTTTGCTCCCTAGAAGACTTGCAGACTTTAGGAGCCAAAGCTAGTCAAATAGTCATGACCGCAAGGATTCCCAAGGCCCAAATTTCACAGAATGATTCTCATCTTTGTTAACAATTTAATTTCGAAATATCTCTTCCTATCTCTGTGTCACATTCCTCCAGCCCAAAGCCATATGGTGACTGATAACAGGCACGGCTCACTAATGAAAGACAAAGCAGGCAGGAACTACACGCTGGGACACGTTCTGTGTGCGGCTCCATCCGAAATAAACATTCGCCTAATTTAAACACACTCAGACACATCAGCGAGGGAGACCAGAGCTATTTTGTAATAGCTTGCTTAGGAAACAATAAATCTCGATTAGGAAAAAAAACAAAGGTATACTGGAGTACGAATCGTGACAATCACCAACAAAAGTAACCAAAAGTCCAGACAGAACTTTTATCAGGAGTATCTCAATCACCAGCAGTCAGCCAACCATCGGCGGCTATTACTTGCATAATTAGGTTTTATAGTGAATTGCTGAGGCTTCCGGAGAGATCCGCAAAGTGCTGTCAAAGTCCCCAAACAAACTGTGGGAATACTCTTGGGATGATCTCAGGGGTGGATGATCCCATTGCACCTGTCTGTCATTTAGCCACCCCACTGGTTTACCTCTAGTCACTCACCAATCCCATCCATCCCACCTGAATGCAGACATCGTGGAAGGGAAGAGGAAACTAAAACAAAGAGTCAGTCTGTTTACTCTGCGTCTGGCGATATGCCTGCATTAACTCTTTTACTATTACTATTATTATTGTATTTATTTTTGAGAGAGAGAGTTCACGCACAGCAGAGAGAAAGGGAGACTGAGAATCCCAAGCAGCCTCCAAGCCGTCAGCCCAGAGCCCCACACAGGGCTCAAACCCAGGAACTGAGAGATCATGACCTGAGCCGAAATCAAGAGCCTAACACCCAACCGACTGAGCCACCAAGGTAACCCTGCATTAACAGCTGGTGATCACCTTTAATGTCACCAAGTAGTTCTGTGCGATTGAAGTGATTTCACATTTTTATAAAAGTAAGGGGCTAAAAGTTGACCCTGCCCAACCTCACAGGTACTAAGTGCCATATTTGGGATTTGAACTCAGGTGTGTGATTTTTTTTAGGGGGTGGGGGAGGTATGTCATATGGCTTTTCTTTTCTTTTTTTCTAAATTTTTTAAATGTTTATTTATTTTTTGAGAAACAGAGAGAGACAGAGCACAAGCAAGGGAGGGGCAGAGAGAGAGGCAGACAGAATCAGACGCAGGCTCCAGGCTCTGAGCTGTCAGCACAGAGCCTGACACGGGGCTCAAACCCATGAACTGTGAGATCATGACCTGAGCCAAAGTCGGACGCTTAACGGACTGAGCCACCGAGGTGCCCCTCATATGGCTTTTCTAATAGAAGAAAGAGCTGATCTTTGTATGGGGTTAATTCTCTCAGGACATTTTCACATGTAACTTTCATCTTGCCATCATAAAATTTTATGAGTTAGGCAGAGAAGTCATCACTTTACTTCTTATCAAAGAAGAAACTGTGCAGAGACCAAGTTGCTTCCCCACAGTCGCACCCCAAGTTATTGGAAGACCCTGACTCTTTTCACCCCAATCCAGACTCTTTTAACTACATCTTTCTGTCCTTTCCTCCTTCTTGTCCTGAAGATATAAAAAGGCTGATCACCATCTCTAGCAACAACAACAACAACAACAAAAATATATATATGATAAATTGATTGATAGATGGTAGGTAGATCATAGACATCTATCCGATCGATCGATTGATCTATCAATAGATAGATAGATGATAGATAAATGAGAGATATCTAGGTTTAAATGACCTTACAGAAATTTATAAATTAAATAGAATTGCTTTCGGAACTACTTCTGTCCTTTTCCTGGGTCATGTCCCACACTGTGCCCAATTGCGCAGGCTCTTGCTATTGGCTGCAGTCTAAAATCTCCCTCCTTGGACAAAACTCCTCACTCTGAAGCAACCTTTCTCACATCAAGGGCCCCCTTTCCTAGGTCTTCGTCCTTCAGAACTCATTTGACTGACAAGAAGGAACGGTTAACCAACCAGATAAGCTGACTCCCAGTGATGTGAAAGTGAATACCAATGGTGATGGGATTTAGTCACCCCAGGGAAGTGTACATTTTAACAGGGATCTTCTAGAGGTAACCTCTCCCACAGTAGGAAATAAAGGCATGGACCCAGGTCAATAGGCTGGATTCTTAGGAGCAAGGATGGCTCTCCATGCCCCAAACCACGCCCACAGAGCTACCTACTCACATGTTTAGATGAGCCCTCAGTTTTCTCCTGAAACCCAATTTTTTTAAAATTTAAATCATTTTCATTGGTTTTCCCAAGCCTCACCCAGGTTCTCTAAACATTTTTGAACTGGCTGCTTTCATCCTTAGGCATGTAGGTTTCAAGCAGTGCTAAGTAATGGAGGGTTACTCATACCCAAAAGGTAAATGGTACACAGGGATGAAGGTGTGCAGAGGGTATCTACATCAAGCACTTGGGATAGGTGTGCCCTGAGAATCAGCTCCCTCGTGAGTCACCACAAAACCAAGGAGAGGATTTTTCTGACAGTCAGAGGCTGCCAGCATGAGTCAAAGAGATTATAAAAGTGTACAAAATTTGGAAAGGAATGCTGAAAAACCTGGTAAACCCAAATCATCGTAGCTCTGCAACACTTCTGGGACTCTATCGTATAGAAATAGCTGGTACAGAAAGAAGCAAGGATGCAAATTTGCTGATAGCACTTGTATATTAAGTAGCAGAGAAAGACAATATCAATGTCAAACAATAATGGAGGGGATAGGAAATTATGATAAATCTGTATAAAGGCATGTATAATATTTTGTAAAAACACAAGAAGGATACCGAAGTGTTAGCGACTACCAAAGAATGATAGAATAATTCTCCACATACTCCCGTGTCTCTATTCTTTATTTTCTACAATAATTAGATTTATAATTGGAGGAAAACAAACTTTTTAACATTGTGGCAGTTGGGGCGCCTGGGTGGCTCAGTCGGTTAAGCATCCGACTTCAGCTCAGGTCATGATCTCATGATTGGTGGGTTCGAGCTCCGCATCAGGCTCTGTGCTGACAGCTAGCTCAGAGCCTGGGCCTGCTTCCGATTCTGTGTCTCCCTCTCTCTCTGCCCCTCCCCTGCTCATGCTGTCTCTCTCTTTCTCTCTCTCTCTCAGAAATAAATAAAACATTTAAAAAAGTGTTAAACATTGTGGCAGAAAGAGCATGAAGTAGGTTGAAAGCCGAAAGATCTGTGTTCTTCCTCCAATTCTGTCATGATTCATTTTCTGAAATTTGGCAAGATCTATAACTTCGTTGAGCCTCGTTTCTTCATTCATTCAGAAAACATTTATCTTGGGTCTGTTTCATGCAAGTAAACTTTAGGGTCCAGAGACAGTTATGAAGATAAAGAAGACAAGGTCTTTGGGAATCTAAAGTCTAACTAAGGAAGATGGAAAATATAAACAGTATAAGTTAATGCTATAAGCATTCCCCTTGAGGTCTACAAAATATACTTTACAAACCTGTGGCAAAAAGTCATAAACTCTCCCTACGGGGACTTTGGGGAGCATCACAAACAAGGTGGCATTGGGTGTGGATCTTGCCAGAGGGTAGGGAAGAAAAGCATTCCAGACAGAGATATAGTAGGTCCAAAGCAGGAAGTATGAAACAGCCAGGTGTGTTCGGGGATGATTGGGAAGGTCACAAAGTTGAAACATCAGGCGTGTGATGGGAAAGCTTATATGTAGCTCATCAGCTCTGCTGCTCTGATGCCAAAATGAGGTGGGTTATGTGCCACAGTAAAGCAATGGGATTCTTCCACGGACAATGAGAAGCTATCAAATCCTTTAATGACAGCATCAGATGTCACTTAAGAAAATTATTCTGGGGGCGTCTGTGTGGCTCAGTCAGTTTAGTGTCCAACTTCGGCTCAGGCCATGATCTCACCGTTCGTGAGTTCGGGCCCTGCATCGGGCTCCGTGCGGACAGCTCAGAGACTGGAGCCTGCTTCGGATTCTGTGTCTCCCTCTCTCTCTGCCCCTGCCCTGCTCGCACTCTGTCTCCCTCTGTCTCTCAAAAATAAATAAACATTAAAAAATATTTTTTAAAAAACAGAAGAAAATTATTCTGCTAACAGTGAAGAGGGTAGGAAAGAAGGCAGCGATGAGGGCCAGGAAACCAGAGGAGAAGCCGTTCCTTAATCCAGGTGAACGATCATAAAGTCATGGCAATGGCATTCAGATGGATTCAAAAGAACTCATTGACCAAAAGTGCAAGAAAAAGGAGCAAAGAAGTGAATACTATTAAAACTTAGGTTTAGAAGAGTGGGCAAAAGTTTAGGAAAGAAAGCATAGCAGACAAAAATGGTAGCACAGAAAAACATCATGTGGATGTTTCTAGGCTAAGCATCTGGGTGAGTTTGGAGGACCTTAATCAAGAGAGGAAGTACAGAAGGAGAAGCAAGTCTGAAAGAGACGAGAAATAAATGAGATAGCTGAGCTAATATTTAGGTAGTTACATACCTGGAAAAATTTGTCTCGAGATTTATGTATTTCCAATTTCCATGAATGTGAATTTTCTCCCAAAGCACTTCTATCATCTTTCAGCTTCCAATAGTCCCCAGCATTTTTCTCTATAAAAGCCATGCTACTGTCACGGCTGTGAATCACCTGGGGGCCTAATGCTTTATCCCTCTGCAAAAGTGTCCCAGAGCTGTGTCATCATGGGATGGAAGACACAGAAGTGAAGAAGCCCAGCATAAAAATGCATACTAGAGGCACCTGGTTGGCTCAGACGGTTAAGCGTCCAACTTCAGCTCAGGTCATGATCTCACAGTTTGTGAGTTCGAGCCCAGCATCAGGCTCTGTGCGGACAGCTCAGAGCCTGGAGCCTGCTTCAGATTCTGTGTCTTTCTCTCTCTACCTCTCCCCTGCTCGCACTCTGTCTCTCTTTAAAAAAATGTTTTTAAACTGCATAATATCTAATTGTTATAAACAACTCTTAGAAGATTAACAAGCATAAGTCTCACTACCTAAGAATGATTTCTGAACTTTGGATGTCTATAAAAGCATTAAATTTGAATTTTGTATAATATAAACCCTCATAATTATGCTCCCCGATGAGTAATAATTCCATTCTTTTCACAAAATGAGAATATTAAAGTGAGAAATTTTAAAGAGCATTCTTACTCTGATCAGCATGGTAGCAGAGGGATTAAAAATGTGGATTTCTTGACTCAGTGCCTTAATCATTACATTAAAATATGCATACTCATGCAACCAGAGATATTTTTAATTAGATCACAAGTTAGAGTTTCAGATTATTTTCTTTCTTTCTTTTATTTATTTTTCAATGTTTTTATTTATTTTTGAGAGACACAGAACATGAGCAGGGGAGCGGCAGAGAGAGAGGGAGACAGAATCCGCAGCAGGTTCCAGGCTCTGAGCTGCCAGCACAGAGCTTGAGCTAATGAACTACAGGAAACTGAGCCCAACTTGGCTCCTAACTGACTGAGCTACCAAGGAGCCCCTCTAATTGCTATTTCAAACCAAAAATAGTTATTTCAGATGAAAAAACATCCATGGGTTTTTTTGGTGCTCTTTTCCTTCCTCACATTCTCTGGTAGTGTCTCATCTATATTACATATATTTGAAAGTAATTATTCATAACTCATATGTATGGACGAGTCATGAATTACTATTTTCTAACATAAAACATAAGAAAGTGAAAAATGCCCTTAAGTAGATCTTCAGAAATTGAAAAACAGTAAGAAAACAGCAAAAAAAAAAAAAAAAAATTAAGAAAACAGTAAAAAATCTGAAAGGATATTTCCATCCTGTTCAGTCTAAATATTAGACAAAAAATCCTTCTGGGGTGCCTGGGTGGCTGAGTCAGCTAAGCATCCGACTTCCACTCAGGTCATGATCTCATGGTTTGTGAGTTCAAGCCCTGCATGGGACTCTGTGCTGACAGCTTAGAGCCTGCTTCAGATTCTGTGTCTCCCTCTCTCTATGCTCCTCCCTCTCTCTCTCTCTCTCTCAAAAATAAATAAACATTAGCAAAATTTTTAAAATCCTTCTTTTGGTTCCTTACATTTTACCTTCTTTCTTGTTTTACATGCCTTTTCTCTATATTCACTTCACTTCTTGCTGGAATGTATCTTTTTAAACTTCATTTTTTTAAGTTTATTTATTTATGTTGAGAGAGAGAGAGAGACATCAGGGGAAGGGCAGAGAGAGAAAGGGAGGGACAGAACCCACAAAACCTGAGATCATGACCTGAGCCAAAATCAAGAGTCTGACCTTCAACTGACTGAGCCACCCGGGCACCCCTTTTTAAACTTCCTTTGATGAAGATCTCATTGCAAACTCTCTTAAATTTTGAATGTCTAAAATTGAATTCTCATTTTGGATGACTAAATGAATGAGTAATGGTCAAGGCATTCAGGCTTCCTTTTTTTTTTTTTAATGTTTACTCATTTTTGAAGTTGGGAGACAGTGGGACAGAGAGAGAGGAAGACAGAGGATCCAAACCGGGCTCTGTGCTGACAAAGATCCCGAGGTGGGGCTCCAACTCACAAACCGTGAGATCATGACCTTAACGGAAGTCAGATACTTAAACAACTAAGCCATCCAGGCGCCCCAAGGCATCGGTGTTTCTATTCCAAGGGTGATTTGTTTATAATGTGGTTCTTGGACAGAAAGAGACTTTTGCACCAAATAAGTTTTGAAATGAGATCCCAAGGGGCGCCTGGGTGGCTCAGTGGGTTAAGCATCCGACTTCAGCTCAGGTCATGATCTCACGGTTCGTGGGTTCGAGCCCCACATCGGGCTCTGTGCTGACAGCCAGCTCAGAGCCTGGAGCCTGTTTCAGATTCTGTGTCTCCTTCTCTCTCTGACCCTCCCCTGTTCATGCTGTCTCTCTCTCTCAGAAATAAGTAAAACATTAAAAAAAAAAATTGAAATGAGATCACAGAAGAACAGCAGGTAAAAAGAACCAAGACATGGCAGACTCAGGTGAATGAGACAGAACATCTCAGGCACAGCCAGCATTTTGGAGGGAAGCAAGACCTTCTGGATAAATCCACTGAGGAAGAGTCGGTACTAAAGTCTATATTTAGGACAGGTTGACCAGGACCGTGAAGACTATGTGCAGCAGTGCACAGTTAGCCGTCATGAAACTGGATTGGCATGGGTGTAACCGTGTTTTGCACTACCATTGAATTTAATTGGCACTGGAGCCCTATTTGAACGAATGGTGGAAAATTTGCCCATATGAGATAAGCTCACTGATCTCTTTTGATCAATTCAACATTTGCTCCTTCTTTTCCTCTTCCTTTCTCTCCAGGGATGACATCCTAGCATCGGAGAAGAGGCGAGAGAGGCCAAGCCCCCAGCCATGCTCCCTTCTGCTGAGCTGGACACTCCCTGCTGGTCTTTGGGGCTCAGTGTTCAGCCCTGCTTTGCCCTCACTGAAACATCTGTGCCCCACTCACTTCTCTGGAAGCCCAGCCCACAGAGATCACACTGATTATTTTCTCAATGCTCAAAAACAACCCAGATGAGGCCCAGTCTCTGCAACTTCCTAGGGACATGGGGAACTGCTCCTCTATCTTCAGGCATTCTTCCTCCTCTCTCTTCCCGCTCTAATTCAGAATCACAGGCTTTCTCTCCTCTAAAGTCCAGTGCTTGCTAGAGGAAGCCCAGTCTTCTTTTTCTAACGAGCTGGAAACATGGCACCATTCAGCCATTTTGCATTGACTGTGTGCATCTCCTGTTTCCTTCACCAATTATTCCCCCTCCCCAACTGCCACCCCCCCGAGCACAGACACTCCCTGGACGCCGGCAGCCCAATGCCCTTGGAGGTGACGGGACCTTCCATGGCTACTCAGGGCCATGGAGCACTAAATTCTGAGATCCACAGAATTAGACACCATCACAAAATGTCTGGATGACAAAGCTTGGCACAGAAGTGATAGCTATGAGACAATCCGAGACTGCTTAAGACTTTCAGAATTCTTGCCAGGCTCTTCAAGAGGCACCCCCTTGAAAGACAAGATTGATAGAATTTCCTGCAAGACGATTGCAGGAGGGGTGGGGGAAGTTGTGACTCAGAGCCTGCTAACCGATTTAGAGAATTTCTTATGGAAACATGAAATCTTTTTTTAAATTATTTTTTACTGTGTTATTTATTTCTGAGAGAGAGAGAGAGACAGCATGAGCAGGGGAGGGTCAGAGAGAGAGGGAGACACAGAAACGGAAGCAGGCTCCAGGCTCTGAGCTAGCTGTCAGCACATAGCCTGATGTGGGGCTTGAACCCACCAACCATGAGATCATGACCTGAGCCGAAGTCAGACACTTAACCGAGTCACACAGGAGCCCCTGGAAACATGAAATCTTAAAGACCAGATGTGTTATGGGGCAAAATGTATACTTGCCACATTATGCCCAGCAGGGACCTTTAATGGTATTTATTCATAGGCATTGCTTAACGCATAGCAACTTATAAGGCCTGCTTTGATATGGACAGAGTTTTCGTTTCGTTGTTAAATAAATTTAATTTGTACTTTCTTATACAAAACGTTCAAAAGAACGGAACCATTCTCCATCCTTCCATTCTTTGGAAACAATGACATATAATTTGAAAAATAGCAATAATAGGAAACAATGGTTTTGACTTCTCAACGGTCAGATGTTCCTGAATTTAGCCTTTCAGAACTCAATGTGCATTTCTTTTGGAGGAATACACTGGACCCTTGTGATGATTATTGTTATTAATAATTTTGCCTAGCTGGCCCCGCAGCACTCACGTATGTCTGGAAACTGCTTATATCATTCATGTTTACTGTGCATGCAGCCATTTTGTTTTGTTTTGTTTTTTTAAATATTTTTATTTATTTCTAGGAGAGGGAGAGAGAGACAGCGTGAGCAGGGGAGGGTCAGAGAGAGAGGGAGATACAGACTCTGAAATGGGGTCCAGGCTCTGAGCTGGCAGTCAGCACAAAGCCCGACGCGGGGCTCGAACCCACCAACCGCGAGATCATGACCTAAGCGAAAGTCGGACGCTTAACGGACTAAGCCACCCAGGCGCCCCAGCATGCAGCCGTTTTGAAGATGGGCCAGGCCAGAGCTGACCCCGTGTGAGCCAACCAGCCTTCACTCCAGGGTTTTTCAAACTTCCACAGGAGGAAGGAAATAGAACTCACTCATTTCTAGAGAAACTGAAAAAAGAAGTCATCCATAGCAGTCATTTCTGACTTTAGTTGCACATTCCCAAAGGAGTTTTTTAAAAAATTTACCAATGTCTGGGCCCCAGTCTAGATCCATTGAATCAGATTTTCTGGCAGTAAGGCTCAACACTAATATTTCTCCCCAAATGATTTTATTTTGAATAATTTCATTACTACTAGAAAGTTGAGATAATTGTACAGTGAACACTGACATACCCCTTCACTTAGATTGCAGTAATTGTTAACATTTAGAATGAATGAGTTTTCAAATACTTCCCAGCTGAAACTAATCTATGGTAATGAGAACCCCCCCCACACACACACACACACCCTCACCCCCAGCGATCTGTAATTGAGAAGAACTTAACTACATAAAAGGAGGATGGTACAGAATGAAACAGACACACGAAGAAAGAAAAAGATTTTAAAACAGAGAGTCCTGGTAATGCTCAGAATTTTGTATTTCATGCCCTGGGTTCTACGAGGTAGCCTCTCATCTTTATAGTAAAAACACCTTAGGGACTAAAAGTAGTATGCTTTAGAAGCTTGTTCATTGCAATCAAAAGATTCGAGAATAATGTGCCAAGGTAGTATGATTCTACAGACTCACCCCTAACTAAAAATAAAACCAGAGTTTATGGGCTTGAGAGATCAAATACATTAAAACACACGCGCGCGCACGCGCACACACACACACACACACACACACACACAAGCCATGAATTCCCAAGATAATGGGATTAAAGAAAATGCCTCATGTTAACCTATGGTTCTGTGGATGTAGCCACTATTTTTCCACTGGTGAATTAAGTCTCTTCTTGCACAATTGCAGGCACAGTACCAAGGGGGGAGGGGTAGTGGCTGTGTGAGGACCTTGCCCCAGTGGTGGGAACTAAGGATTCTGTCGGTGAGGTGGTTCAGAATCACCAGAACATGTCGATAATAAAAGAGAGGCTGAATTTCAGTTGGTCCTATTATTTTTTAAGAAATCGTTAGAAATATTATTCTCCATAGACACTGCAATCCATTTTCTCCTGGACCCAGGGCATACCACTTCCACCCCCGGCCCTGTGCCCCTACTCCCTGGTCCAGTTTTAAATGTTTATTTATTTTTGAGAGAGAGAGAGAGAAAGAGAGAGAGCAAGCATGTGCAAGTGAGGGAGGTGCAGAGAGAGAATGGGAGACAGAGGATCCAAAGTGGGCTCTGCACTGACAGCAGCCCCCTGATGTGGGACTGGAACCCACAAATCGGGAGATTCATGACCTGAGCTGAAGTCAGATGTTCAACGGACTGAGCTACCCAGGTGCCCCATTCGCAATCCCATTTTAGAAAGACCAAGCTGTTACCAGGCTTGGAGCCGTCCCCCATCTCCATATCTATGAATAAGAGTTGTGGTTTCTATTTACAAATGTTCATTCATTTTGCAAAAAGACAAAGATGCTGTAACTCTATATCATGCAAATACAGGATTTGGGCGAGTACCATTTTAGGAAACGAGCCTTAGAGGCATAACGTACAAGTTTTGCAGTCATTAATGGCTAATTATTTGCCTTGCAATGTACTTGAAATCATTTCTCTGAGCTACAAATAAGCTGATGTTTCCAAACTATTAAGAATAAAAATGAACTCTGAAAGAGGAAATTGAACACAGTAAACCAGAGATAGTGTGAGATAAATTCAAGCCTCACTCTCTCATTCGTGAGTTACTGTAGAAAAGGAAAGACACACTTTATCAAAATTCAATGGATAAAAGTTTTTAATTAAAACTAAACTATCAAAATTCACACTCAAGAAATGGCGATAAAGAATCCTTCTGAAAAAGCCAGAAGAGCTAAGCATCAGCCACCAAAATAATTTACAGAAAGATGGGAAAGACCATGGAAACAAAGGGGTGTGGGCATCTCCCCCCCACTGTGGAGATTGATGCAATGCAGATGAGTTTTATGAGCTGAGAGAAATGTCCCCAAAGTTTACAGTTCTCCTGAGAAAGCCTGATCTTAGAAAAGTAAGGTTCAGGACCAAATTCTTAATGCCATAGGTTAGGCATTAAAAGTGCAGGATTCTTTTCATGAAAATATAAAAATATTCCTGTTTTCAGAGAGAATTTTAAAGCTGGTGATATCTAATAATAAGTAAAATATAGATAAAACATTGCAAAGGTTGATGGGGGAAATAATGATTTTATAAACAGTGAATTCGCCTCTCTATCTGCACTTGACATTTTGAGGCCATCAGAAAACAAAATGATCTCTTCAAAGAATCCAATATCCTAGACTCTGATATTTGGATGGAATCAGAGGAGCAGAGGGTCATAAAAACAAAATATTTTCTTACCAGACTAGAGCTCTTATTGAATTATGTAAAGTGCCTTCAAATGATCAAATTCCTTTTTGATACTTATCCACCGAGTATGTTATTAATTAAGCCCCAAATTACAAAGCCTCGAAAGTGTGGAATCATAATACATTGCTCATCCCTGAAACCCTCTCCGAAGGAAGTCACTGGAAGGAGAAGGAGGTCGTGGGAGTACTCACTGTGGCTAGCCAAGAGCAAATCACCCACACATTTGCCCCACTCCCTGGCAGCTGAAGACACAGGTGTCAATGGCTTTCTTTCGTTGTATCTTGCAACAAGTCAGCAGCCTTCTGTACCTCTGAGCAGTCAATTTAGCCCCGAATGGCGGATACTCAAGCTGAGGCATTGAGGCTGGGCCCTGCCCTAGTGCCAGCAGGCAGCCCCATACACAGGGGCCCCACAGCCAGACAGACAAGTCCTGCTTGGGAGTAGCTCCTGCAGTGGGAGGGGCACAGTGCTGGCGAACGGATGAGTCATACACTAGATGATACACTCATGGACTCACAATAAGCAAAGGCTTCCCTTTTTGGCAGTGGATCCGGGACTACAGTGATGGCACAGGATCCTTGGTACTCAACCATAGCTATTACCATCCTTATGAATCTGCCTGAAAAGTGGGGTATGGAAAACACAAGTATCTATGCCTGGAGCTCTGTCTCTGACTGTCTTTCTGGTCACTAGGGTTATGGTACTATGGGTCTCTGGTTGCTTCCAGTTGTCCCTAGATCCAGGCACAAGGTAGCACTGCAATTGCTGGCCTCTCCATGGGTCGATGGGGTCATGCACCTTGTTCGCCCATGGTGACCAGCGATTCAAAATGGTAGCCTGGGTCACTGAGTGACTGTGAAAAGCAGAGGGCTTCGCTGATCTGTGATGGGCATGAGCAAAAGATTACTCCTTATTGTTCTTAGTCACTGAAATATGGGAGCTATTTGTTACCTCAGCATAACCTAGCCTCTCCGCACTGACACAAGGATCAAGGTATCTGGAAGGCAACCTGGGCAGTGATGTATCTAACTTTGAAACACTCAAAACTCCTTTCTAACTTTTTCTCTTTTTTAGCAGTCATGGGCTTTCTAGCTTGTGTTTCAAAAACACACTTCTGTTTATTTATGGAGTGGCATTTTTCAAAACACTCACTAAGAAGTTCTTAGAGTGTTGTGGAAACATTCTTTATTTCTAATCCCAGCACTCTGTCCTCCTCTTTTGCTCCCGGGCTAGTTCTTGGTCTTCTAGGGAGTGGCAGGAGATTCAAGAAGCCCCTTTGAGGCTGAAATCCACTCAAGTCCATCCATCAAATGGAAAAATTCAGTATTTTTGTTGTGTATATACAATGTGCCCAATGTGCTGTACAGTGGTAGGTATATTGATTTCCATGAATATGACCCCTGATGTTTCAGGGCTCAGAGTCTAGTTTGGAAGTGAAGAAACATACATGTGAAAATGGACAAGGCCTTCCCTGCTAAGAGCTGAAGCGGTTTGTCCAGTGCAGGGGAAAGTTGAGGGAGGCTGGTGGTGAGGGCCACTTCCTGGAGCACGCAGGGCTGGGCCAGGGCACGTCCATTTATAGGGATGAGCAAAGTTTGGGCAGCAGGAATGAATGAGGCTTGTTCATAGTTCATTTGTTCAGTACACTTTTATTGAGCACCTACTAGAATGTAAAAACTGGAAGTATTCTCAGAGATCATCCAAGCTGGACCTCATGCTGCACACTGAGAAACCAATTCGGCTGTTCTTACCTGGAACTCTCACCTTTTTACAAGGTAAGTCCTGGCTTAAACTAAATAAAGCAGAGCCTCCAGCCTCATTGCCAGTCATGCCCTGCCCCACATGTTGCACGCTGGGAATGCCTCACTGAGTGTTTTCATCATGTTTCAAGTGTCCAGGCCTCTGTGCATACCATGCTCTATGCCTAGGACAACTTACCCCCTCTGGTTGCTGACTAACTCCTTGTCTGTCCCGAGTCAGGATCCAATCTCACTATCTCTCTCTCTCTCTCTCTCTCTCTCTCTTGAGCAAGTCTCCTCCAAAGCCTGAAGTGAAATGAGAACGTTTCCTTCTGCATACGTCTTTATGGCTAATTTTGTAATGTTGGAATCTGAACCTTCCCCTCTGAAGTCATCTTCATCAGAGTTGCCGCCTAGCCTGTCTTGTTCATCTTGCTCTAGCTGCCAAATTGGTTCACATCCCTTTTCCATTCCATTAGCCTCTTCTGCAGCCTGAAAGGCATCCACCTATCTCCACCCACAGCTTCACCTGGATGACTCATTCCTCACTCTCATCCTCAGTCTCCTCCACTGCTGGACCTTCCATGACCAACTAGCCTGGCCCGGTTCCCTGCTTCCCACCACCATCATCCGTGGTACACAAGACTGGCACCACCTCGTCATTTAGGTTTCAGTTCAAATGTCATCTCCTCAGAGAAGTACTCTGTGACTTGGCAGTCATTGTTTACCAGTCCAGGGTCGTTCTATCTTCTTCCTTGCCAAAAGTCTACATTTGATGACTCATAATTATTTGGAACCAATTGTGCCAGCATGGGTCCTCTTTGCTAGTCACTGAATCAAATGTGGGCATGTGATTGTGTCCATTGAGTTTTAAGGGAAAGTCCACTGGGAGACTACAGAGTTCTAGGAAGAATTTTCTCCTGATAAAATGAGGGGGCTGCTGTAGGGAGAAATAAAGTTATCTTTTCTCCTTTCCCCCCACCTCTTTCTCTCTCTGATTTTGGGATCCATAAGAAGATGTAACGTCTGCGGCTACGGTAGCCATCTTGAAACCATGAGGCTGAGGAAAATGAGGAAAATGCCAACCTGCTAAGAAGGGGAAATGGATGGAAAAAGCCTTGATCCTTAAGGACTCCACTAAATTACTGAAATCATAACATCTGCCTTTTTTAAATAATTGAGGCTCCTAAGTCTTATGCCACTGTTAAGTTTTCTACTACTCATAGCCAAAGGAGTTTAACTGATCCTCCTAACCCCTCCTAACCCCTAACTCCTATCTTATGTAGCACCCCAGTCATTCTCTATCATATTCCACTTATTTTCCTAGTATACATCACTAGTCAAAATTATCGTGCCTATTGGAAGGCTATTGGCTAATTTTCTTCCCCCACTAGAAGGTAAGGACCCTGGGGGCAGGAATCTTGTCAGTTTTATCACTGCTATATTTCTAGCACCTAGGATGGTGCCTGGCACTTTGTAGGAGCTCAAAAAATATGTATTACCCAAGTGATTGGATGAATGAATACATCCAGGGACAGCTCTTGTTTCTTTCCTGTCTCTTATAGCAGACCAGGAGCTCCTTTAGATCAGAAATCTAGAAATCCAGATTTTTATTTATTTATGATTTTTTAAAATGTCTATGTTTTGAGAGAGAGAGCATGAGTAGGGGAGAGGGACAGAGGGAGACAGAGAGAGAGAGAGAGAGAGAGAAATCAAGCAGGCTCCATGCTCAGCATGGAAGCCAACGTGGGACTTGATCCCACAACCCTGGGATTGTGATCTGAGCCGAAATCAAGAGTCAGCCGCTAAATCGACTGAGCCACCCAGGCGCCCCAGATTTTATTTATTTTTATTTGTCTTCAAAAGGATTGCTTGGGGGCGCCTGGGTGGCTTAGTCAGTTAAGTGTCCGACTTTCGCTTAGGTCATGATCTCGTGCTTCGTGGGTTTGAGCCCCGTGTTGGGCTCTGTGCTGACTGCCAGCTCAGAGCCTGGAGCCTATTTCAGAGTCTGTATCTCCCTCTATCTCTGACCCTCCCCTGCTCACGCTGTCTCTCTCTCTCTCTCTCCTAGAAATAAATAAATAAAAATATTTAAAAAAAAAAGGATTGCTTGAAATACAGCACGTAATTAATAAATACTTAATGAATAGTGACATATGCTTTCTAGAGCCTTCTTAATAACCACCCTCCAGTTAGGATATAACTGGTGAGTTTCCAATATTGGACACCTTGGTAAAGGAATTCTGGACTATTGTTTCATGATAGTTAATCTTACAAGAAAATTTCATGATAAAGTCTTAACCTGGCAAAAGATCTTGAGATATCTGCAGTATAGACCAAACTTCCAGATGAAATATTTCCAATAATGAAGAGCAGATCACCTCAGGAACCAGGGCAATTACATTACTCCCCAAGTGGGCTCAGATGGGCTTCTTTGCAACTGACAGCTATTGACAACTGTCGAGCTGTTGTCTATTCATGTTGTCTATTCATGTTGTCTTTGAAACCCAGCGCCAAAAGAAATGCCTTTTCCATGCCTGCACACAAGCCGGTGAACCTAGCAGGGATAAAACTGTCATATGTCACTGATTCTAAGATCCCCGTTGTTCTATGGCCCACTAAGAGAAAGCAACGCTGATGATGAAACGCTAAGCAATGCTATAAAGCTATGCAACTGTCTGCTGAGAAAAGGAGGCAAAACTGAAAAAAACAAAGACCTTTATTTGTGGCCTCAGAACTGCACTTGGGGGAGCACAGATTTCAGAGTAACCAGGAAAGTCCCCCACTCATATGGGGAAAGGAAGGAGATTTTATAAGGAGAAGGAGAGGGTAATTACACAAGTTAGATACAGAAGAGGGAAAAAACTAATCTGGTGCTAACTAGTTGATCCACTTCTGATTATTATCTTATTATTTTACTGATGCCATCAAACAAAACTGTCCTGGCGTGTATTAATTAAATGTACAGTCCACATGTGATCACAGTGCCAGTTAATGTAAGGACACAAGTCTAAACCAGACTGACTCCATAATAGGCTTTAAATTTCCCCTCTAAACTAGAAGGCCTAAGTTTCAGTTTCCCTGAAACTATCAGGCAGCTACACACTGCCCAAGGCCGAAGAAACTGCCCACCACTTCGCTCTACCACACTACCTTGGCAACGCCCAATCAAGAAAGGCCAGCAACTATAGATAAATCTCAGCTGCCTAATGTTAAAGTTAACCCATTAGTCGCCGAACAAGACTCTAGGCTCGCTCTGTAATTGGTTGAATTTAAAAGTACTCTAAATGTTGTAATTGGGTCTCGCCAAAAGTAACAAATACTCTAGACAATGTATATGGTTAAACCCGCTGTCAATGATATTGTATAATTATGATTGGATCACTATTTCCATGCCACAACTTCTGTAACTCCCCCGTCACAAACCCCATAAAAACCTTACTCTGCCTTTGTTCAGGGCTCTCAGAACGGATCCACTGCGTTGGTGAGGTCTGGGAGCCCGAGCTCGAGCCCGTAATAAAGCCGTTTGCCTTTGTATGCATGACTCAGTCTCCCCGGTGGTCTCTGGTCGTTGAGGATACTGCGATCTGGGTATAACATTTGGTGCGTTGGCCGGGAATTCCCCTCCTCAGAGGGGAAATCCTCCCCCAGTACCCCTGGGACCCCGACACGCTGGGCCTAATCGCCGGCTGGTGAGTGCACTCATTTCCTTGTTCTTCTATGTCTAAGTCTTTTTGTCTTTTTGTATGACTGCTGTTTGTCTGGTCTGTTCGGTGCTCGGTCTCTAAGGGCCTCAAAGGAGCCAGGTGGACTCGCCGCAAAAGCTCGAGGCTGTGGGATCCAAGAGATGTCTTGAACCCACAGGAAGGGGAGACTGAGGACAGGGGTTTCCGCGGCACCATAACTGGAATTCGGGCAGGGGTCCCCCGTGGACAGGGGTTTCCACGGCAATGAAGCTGGAATTCAAGAGATCCTGTTGGTGGCAGCAATAGGATCTCATTTGTCTTCTTGGTCGTACTTTCATTTTCTTCTCAATCACTTGTGTCTGGTCTGTTTGTTTATGTGCAGGTCCCGTTGGGACCTTGACTGACAAGGACGCTTAGGGAGAGTTTTTTTCTCCCATCTTTTCCCTTCATCTTTCCATGGGACTTTGGGGTCACCACCCCACATAGTTTTCTTTCTCTTTGGAAAGTGCGCAAAGACCATCATCTCACTTTCGTTGTCTCCTCCGCTGGCCAGGAGGACTAATTCCTATATCTGTGTCTTAATTTTGTTCTCTGTGATACTTTATCTTGTTTGGACTAATGTCATGGGACAGTCCGTTTCAAAACCTCTAGACCTGGTCCTGCTTCACTTCAAGGAAGTTAGGATTCGAGCTTACAATCTGTCAATGATTATCAGGAAGGGTCCATTCTAAACTTACTGCACAGAATGGCCCACTTTCAATGTGAGATGGCCACCGGACATCATGGTTTGGGCCAATCTGGTTGATAACCCACCCCCTTGGATTAAAAATTTCTTGCCTCCACAGAAACCTGACTTCCTGGCAGTAGCTGAAAAGCACCTGCCCTCCCCGGCTTCGGAACTGCCAAAAGAAAAAGAAAACTAAACCCTCTGCACCGCTCTACCCTTTCTTACAGGGCAGAACGGAGGAAAAATTAACTTCTCCCCCTCCGTAGGCAACATCCTCCACAGGACCCAGCAGGAAGAACAAAGGCGCCACCCAAACCACCCGCGCCCCCTGCCCCACCGGACCCAGCGGCCCTGGGGTCGGCAGAAATGGGCCCCACCCAAGGGACCCGAAGCCGCCGTGGAATGACTCCTGAGGGACCGGACTCTACTGTCCTGCCCCTGAGGGCCACGGGACCCCCTAATGATCGGGGCAACCACCCCCACCATTACTGGCCCTTTGCCACAAATAATCTGTACAATTAGAGGTCTCAAAACTCTCCATTCTCGGAGAACCCCGCGCCCTTATTAACCCATTAGAAACTGTTCTGTTCACTCATCAGCCCACCTGGGATGATTGCCAATAATTGTTTCAGGTTCTGTTCACTATTGAGGAATGGAAAAGAATCCAGTCGAAAGCCAGGAAATTGGTTCCTGAGCCCACTGGAGTTCCCACTACTGACCAGGCTGAAAATGACGCTGGGTTTCCCCTGGCATGGGCGGGCTGGAACTACAACTCGGCTAAAGGTAAGGAGAGTCTCAGTCTACTGCCAGACTCTGTTGGCAGGTCTCAAGGCTGCGGCTAGCAAGCCTACAATGTCAGTCAGGGACCAGAGGAAAGCCCTGCAGCATTCCCTGAAAGAATAATAAAGGCATTCTGCCAGCACACCCCTATAGATCCAGAGGCCCCAGCAAACTTAGCTGCTGTGGCCATGACTTTTATTAATCAGTCCATTCCCAACATTTGAAGAAAACTTCAGAAACTAAAATGCCTAGGAAAAAAAGAGCCTCCAAGATCTAGTGGTCGTGGCAGAGAGAGTACACAGCAACAGGGACAGCGCAGAGGACAAGCAGGTAAGAGCTGAAAAGAGACAAAACCAGGGTCTAGCCAAGATCCTACTCGCGGCAACTGCGGAACCGGAGGACCGGAAAAGACGCCTCAGACAGTTGGCTTCAGGAAAAGAAGGTAAGGAGAACTCCCAGCGGCTCCAGGGGCGCCCCCACTTAAGCAAAAATCAATGCTCCTACTACAAAGAAAAAAAGAACATTGGGCCAAAGATTGCCCCAAGAATAAATCTAAAACTCCCATTCTAGTAATGGGAGATGACAGCGACTAGGGGAAACGGGGTTCGGCACCCCTCCCCAAACCCAGGGTAACCCTAAAAGTAAAAGGAAAATCTACTGAGTTCCTAATGGACACTTGGCTCAACATTCTAAGGAGCGCGCAGTAGGGACATCAGGGTCGGCCCCAAGCCAGCCGCCCACACCCCTACGGGAGCCATAGGCCCAGCCCGGGCAAGGTCTCTGGGGCCGTCCCCTCCCAACCCGCAGCCTCCGCGCGGCACACTCACCCGTCGCCAAACACCACGCACTTGATGGCTTGCCTGAAAAGCCGCTGACACCAGATGTGGGATTTAACCTTGACTCTAGCAGCTTGTTAAGCTCCTCGTCATTGCGGATCTCCACGGTACAATAGTGGCCCTTGATAAAAAAAAAAAAAAAAAAGAACGCCTACCAAAGGGCTAAGGAACTACCGCCCGCCGAGCACTCCCAACCAAACATGAGACTGCTCAGATCATAGCCACAAAATTCCTAAAAGACATCTTCATAAGGTATGGCTTTCCTCAGATGATAGGGTCAGACAACGGACCTGCATTTGTGTCCATAGTAAGCCAGAATTTAGCCACGGCCCTGGGAATTAATTTAAAATTACATTGTGCATACAGACCCCAGAGTTCAGACAGATAAAAAAAAAAAATAGAACTGTAAATTAAATTGACCTTGGAGAGTGGCGGAGACTGAGTAGCTCTCCACTCTATAGAGTGTGCAACTCCCACTACCAGATGGAGTTAACTCCTTTTGAAAACATGTCTGGCCTAAATTGCATGCCTTCTATCAAAATAAAATACATAGTTACTAAACATACGTTTGAGTTTTCAGCTTCCTATTGCAGAAGAAGTAAGACTATTTAGGCTTTTTTAAAAAAGATAATTTAAAAATTCTAATGTAAATACCTCTCAGTTGGTTACTAAGTCCTCAACTGGAGACTAACGTTTCCTAAGTTAAAATTCTGCTAGATGTACTTAAAACTGATGGAAAATAAGGAAAGCAATCTTGTATATAGGAAACTGAAAGATACATAAAAAAGATATAAGAAATGAAAATACAGTTTTGTTGAGAGTAAAAAAAAAAGTAATTTTGTCCTAAATAAGACTAGTTGTTTAAAAAAATGGTTTTGAGACAAAGTTTAAAGAAAAAAAAAATGTAAAAGTTCCGTAAAGGAAAATCTTTGAAAAGATATTCTATGTGTGCTCAGGATAAACTAAGGTTGAGATAAATGGAATTTAAAAAGTACACTGGTATAAAGTTAAAACTCTGCTTTTCTCTCTGGTCAAAACACAAAGTTTTCTTAGATTGTAAATCTACTCTTGATAAGACAATGTAAACAAAGGTTTTCTCCTTTTGCTGCCAAGAAAACCAAAGCTTTAGGTTTCATCTTTATCAGGTCTTTAATTACATAGTTAAAACTTCTCAGTGTTAAAGGGGCTAGGTTTTTCTACATTTGCCTTTAAGATCTTTTATTGCCACTTTGATTAAAAAAGGTTTTCAAATTTTTAATAATCTGTAATCCTATTTAAGATACTTTGTAACTTCCTAAGGTTTTAACAAACTTCTCAGAAAAAAAAAAAAAAGTCTTTTGGCCAATTAGGCCCTTTTATTTGAGACGCTAAGTTATTTGGAAAAACACTATGTACAACAGTAAACCTTAGGTTGTATTGCATGAGTAAATGCTATAACTGCCCAAATATATATGTAAATCGTAAAGTTTTAATGTTTTGTTATAGAGTTATTATATGTCACAAAAATAACTGAATTTCTATGTCAACTGCATCATACTGAACTCTCATCAAATCTTTAACAATGTCCATCTGAGATTTTATTATTTAAATAAATTACTTGCCTTCATGCAAGAATGTCTGGGGGCATAATACTTAGGTTGCGGTATCGCCACCCTAATGGTTGGGACCCAACTGAAGACCCATAATTGGGCCTTCAAATACACAAGAGAAGGAAAAAATGAAGAGCCAAAAATTAAGTCCTCCATTAAGAGCAACCTCGGGCTGCACGTAGCCCCAATCCCAATTCCAGGAAAAGCCTCAGACTGTTCAAGGCTAAAGCCATCCTTGGACCGCCCTCAGTTAAGCTAATCAAAAATAATAAAGATACAACTGACCCAAGATCGGGTCAGCTACAAGACAGAGGGGGAAATGTAAGGACACAAGTCTAAACCAGACTGACTCCATAATAGGCTTTAAGTTTCCCCTCTAAACTAGAAGGCCTAAGTTTCAGTTTCCCTGAAACTATCAGGCAGCTACACACTGCCCAAGGCCGAAGAAACTGCCCACCACTTCACTCCACTCCACCACACTACCTTGGCAATGCCCAATCAAGAAAGGCCAGCAACTATAGATAAATCTCAGCTGCCTAATGTTAAGGTGAACCCATTAGTCGCCGAACAAGACTCTAGGCTTGCTCTGTAATTGGTTGAATTTAAAAGTACTCTAAATGTTGTAATTGGGTCTCGCCAAAAGTAACAAATACTCTGGACAATGTGTACAGTTAAACCTGCTGCCAATGATATTGTATAATTATGATTGGATCACTATTTCCATGCCACAACTTCTGTAACTCCCCCGTCACAAACCCCATAAAAACCCTGCTCTGCCTTTGTTCGGGGCTCTCAGCATGGATCCACTGCGTTGGTGAGGTCTGGGAGCCCGAGCTTGAGCCCGTAATAAAGCCCTTTGCCTTTGCATGCGTGACTCGGTCTCCCCGGTGGTCTCTGGTCGTTGAGGATACTGCGATCTGGGTATAACATTACTTTGTTGAAACTTTATGAGCAACTGTTTGTGGAACAGGTGGCTCCTCTGGCCCAGTTCAAGAACCCATTGGTCTGAAAGGAAAATGGGGTTTCAAAATGGAGTCCCTCACGTCCCGAAACTCTATACAGTCCCATTATCTCCCCTTTCAATGAAGAATTTTTTCTTCGAAAACCACCACAGATCCACGTGGTTCCCTTCTAGCCAGACTTTGTTCTGTTCTGGACCTCAGGTAAGAAGTCTGTTCCAAAAGAAAAACCAAGTTTAATGGTTGGAGCAAATGAAAAGACCTGGTGTCTGAGTCCTGAGCGCTGCCAGTAGACGATTTCTAGTGTCGGGCTTGAAGCATCTTC